CTGACAAACAATTTCTGGACTTTCCCCTCTGCTTTTGCGGTTTTTGGTTTTAAAAACAGCCTGTAACAGCCATTCGGGGTCCTTCCCCTTCCGAGGCTAAGGGACCCCGATGCGCCAGTCAATAAACTTCCTCTTGCTTTTGCAACTGCGGTGTGAGAGTGGTCTCTTCGGGTGGGCCCTCCTCGGTAAGTGGGCGCTAGGGTCCAACACCGGTCTCTAGTCAGGAAAGAAGCAGGTGGGAGGACACAGACAAACGAACAAAGTGGGGGAAATACATCTGAGGAGTCCCAGGCTTGCTACTTCTAAGAATTATAACACTTTCAAAAACACCATTTATAAATCCTTTTCTCTTTCTCAAATTAAATGTAAACAAAATTTAAAACATAGTTCAACCTTGTATTTTTTAACATAATTCTGAAAGCATTGAGAGCTTAGTCAAAGTATGTCAAATGTAAAAGAAACCATGGATGGGCAGTTTTTCAATTATGGAGACAAAAGTGCTGAATCTAAGATCGAAACTACTGAGGTGGTATACACTATCAACTGTAAACGAAAGGGGCTACAGTTTACAAGTTCGCTTATGAATGCTAGTACACACACACACACACACACACACACACCACACACACACACATTTCTGGTACCTTAAGCCAATAAAAGCATCTCATTGACACCTGAGTCATCGGGCCCTTCTCATCGCTCCTGTAGGCATACAGAGTTCCACAACAGCCCGGAATGGAGCATAACAAGGCTATTTGGGGATAAATCCACAGTAAGGGTAGCCCTGCATCAACCTCCTTTTCCTCTCCCTTCCTTAAGCTAACCTCCCTGACTAGTTATACTTCAGGCTCCCACAGGCAGAAAAAAATACCTTTAGATTGTGAGTATAAGAAACAAATGAATTACAGGTTTAAACTTGAGTAATATCCAATTCACAACAGTATGCATTTACAACTATCTCAAAAGTGTAAAAAAAAGTCTGAACCCAGAAATACTTGAAATTCTGAATACTAAATATCTATACCAATAACTTACAGAATATTTATAAAGACAAATCACATATTAACTTAGTAATAAACAATACTGCCTCACAAGCACAAATCTCTTTCTATATGTCCTGTGTCTATTCCCCAAGTAGTTATAATTCTGCTTACAAGTTCAGGAAAATCAAAATAACACTATTCATAAGCAATCAGTGGCAATAACTAAAATCAAAACATAAAACATTATTTTTAAAAAAATAAGTTTATGGGTATTTTGCATGTATGTATGTATGTATGTGTGTGTGTGAACTGAATGCATGCCTGGTGTCCACAGAGACCAGATGAGGGTATCAGATCCCCTGGACTAGAGATACAGAGGATTTTAAGGCACCACATAGGTTTGGGGAAAAGAATCTTTTGAGTCCCAAGCAAGATCGGTATGTGCTTTGTAACCACTGAGCCATCTCTTCAGTCAATGTTTTTTCATTTTTACTAGAAATGTTGAGTTAGTGGCAAAAACACAAAACTGTAGCATAGGGCATTTAATCCTCAAGTTACTTCTGGACTAACAATACTGGCAAAAGGTGACAGTGCTTGAGCTAATTATTAGTAAAACTGCACTGCTGGCATTAGAGGTCAAAAATACATATACATGTACACATGTGTATACATATATACATACATGTGTATGTATATGTGTATAACAAAAACTACCCTCTAACTGATAACATAGACCATGCAACTAAAGGTACATGCTGGCACTGAGTGGTGGTGGCGCCTTTAATCCCAGCACTAGGGAGACAGATGCAGGTGGATCTCAACAGAGTTCAAGGCCAGCCTGGTCTACAAAGCAAGTTCCAGTACATTCAGGACTGCTACACAGGAAACCCTGTCTCAAAAAACAAAACAAAACAAAATAAAACAAAAAGCAAACAAAAATGCACATGCTGGCAAGAGACTAGAAATTCTGTTGTAAATATTTTGAGTTGAAACTTTAAGCAGACTGAACTTTACATTTTGAAGCAACAGAATATGGAGCATCATATCAACAGGGAGAAAAGATTATAAGGTTTTGGGGGATTTGCTTTTCTTTTCCGGTTTTTCGAGACAGGGTTTCTCTGTGTAGCCCTTGCTGTCCTGGAACTCTGTAGACCAGGTTGGCCCCAAATTCACAGAGATCTGCCTGTCTCTGCCTCCCAAGTGCTGGGATTAAAGGTGTGCGCCACCACTGCCAGGCAACAAGAAAGTCTGATAAGAATAAAGATGCCTGAATCCTATGCTAGCTATACAATCATCAGTCATTGTTCTCGGCTTTAGTTTCACATTTTTTAAGTTTTCTTTCACCCATTTACAAATGGTTACAATAGAGTAACAGTACATACAATAAAATTTAAGCAGCATCTAGCTGGGTGTGGCCAACCTAGCACGTGGGAGGCTAAGGCAAGAGGACTGCTGAGTTTGAGAATTCCGTGGATTGCACACCCAAAAAAGGACACATTTAAGCAACAACAAAAAAGAGCAAACTTCAGTTATTTAGGGTACCAGGAATAAAAAAAACCTACTGATTCAAATAATTAGATTGCCTTTTTAAGAAATATCAGTTACATGTATATTTATACCTTTTGTGCATACATATTTAGAAACATACTTTCTTCAACATAGCAAAATATTCTCAAATAAGACATGAACTGGGGGCTTTAAATTTTTCACTATGTGTGAAATCTTAAATACAGGAAAGAACTTAGAGCTGATGCCACTGAATCTTTGAATGTATAAGCACAATTCTAAGGAAAAAAAATTTCAGCAGACTGGAATAACTCTGTGTTTAAGTAGAAATCAGAACATAGGTAAATGTTTGCTGCCATCTTGTGGATAATTAAAATTTCTGAAATTTCCTGCATTTGCTGCTTGATTATTCATCTTCCATCTAGAAAGTCAATAAAAATATTTTTAAAAATTCTCATTACCTTTGCATTTTAATATTATAGCTACATGCCTTGAAAGGACTGCTTAAGCATCCTGTTTCCCAAAAAGCTATATGCAAACTTCAACAGCATTGTAAGGCATGTACAACTATGATAAATGTTATTCCATGGCAAGGTTGAAATCAACTCTTATTACTACTGCTAAGCAGGATCTATCTATCACAGCAATAAGATCCTATCCTGTATCATTTCTGCAGATCTGTATGAAGACCTCGCAAAGGAATTGTAAATGCATCCAGCATCTACTGAAGATTCTCTGATTTCCGGCAATTCCTTTACTTCCCGTCATCACACCAGCTCTTCATTGTAGTTTGCTATAAAGTTATTTTGTCTTAATGATGGTAACTAATTTAAGAGTTGCTATGAGAAAACTCGCCTTGATAGAAAAGCAACATGCTACAACCTTCCACTGCTTTCAATAAGATGGCAACAAAACGCTCTCTTAACCACCACCAATCATCCCTATCCCAACAATCTGAAATCCAAAACACTGCATAAAACAATGTGCACTTAGTGCTGAGCTCAGGAGCAACTGATCTCAGAATTTCAGATTAGAGATATATCTGACCAAAATCTGCAAATGTTCTACAATATGAAAAACTTGCCAAAAGTGTGAGACACTTCTGGTTCCAAGCACTTTGAAAAAGGAATATTCTGCCTGTACTAAGCATTCCTAACAACACCAATGGAAATTATGAGACAGGAAGTGAAAACACAGTAGCTAAGATGGCTGAGCAAGAGGCACAGTGACAGGAAACAAGATCTTCCTCGGTGCTGAGGATAGCCAGATGAGGGAACACTGCTTTAAACTTAACACAGGCAGGGTGCACCGAAGACGGCAGTAACTCAAAGCTACTCTTTCTTCAACTTGCAGCAAAGCAGAACCATGCCTCTGACCTGGGCAAGAATCAAGTCTAAGCCTTGGACGTCAAAGTCACCAACAGGCACACCTCGGTGAAACCCATGCTGGGCCAAGTCACAAAAGCAGGGACTAAACACGCTGACAAGCAGCAGGAAGACCGCCTCCACCAGCAGGACGGTTAACTGGGATCTGGAATCATCTGGGAGGCGGAGCTCGGGAGGGTCTGTGGACCAGGCACCTGACCGCTGTGGGTGGCTGTGCTGCACCACTCTGGTACCCAGGACCTTATAAAAGCTGGAAACCAAGCACAAACATTCATCACTCTCTGCCTCTTCACTGTGGAAGCAACGAAACCAGCCACTTTAAGCTCCCACTGCCGTGACTCCCCACCATGATGCACCACTGAGCAGTGACACCTAACAGTGACGGAAGCACTTTTACAGCCACTGAGCAGAAACCATGCACTATGTTAAAGGACAACAGAAAGCACCAGTGTCAGGCTAGGTCAAACGATAAACATGAAACACTGAGCTCAAAGGCAGCAAAGGCAAAGGAAACCAGAAGAAAAAGGAGCAAAGACGTTCAGTGATTAGACGGGGCTGGAGAGACAGCTTAGTGGTTACAAGCACCAGCTGCTCTTCCAAAGGACCTCAGTTTGATTCCTAACACGGCTCACAACCATCTGCAACTCTTAACTCCAGGGTATCCACTGGTCTCTTCTGGCCCCCATGAACACCAGGACACAAGCATACATGCAGACAAAACACCCATAAACACAAAATAGTAATTTTTTTTTAAAAAAAATTAAAACATAAAGTTAGAAAATGACTTGCAAAACAGCTACATAAGATTTTATATACACAAAATTACCTTAATGTCAACATTTTAAAATGTTCTTTTAAAAGAAAAAGCATCTACAAAAAAAGGGAAAAAAACCCACCACACAGGGCATTATAAGTTCCCAAAGCCTCTCACTAAGCTGCAGCCACAAGAGCTAGAAGGTTAAAAGGGACTCAAAGATTATTTCATGTATTTAAAATTTTTTAAAAACTCTCCCAAACAATGTCATTTGAATAAAACTAAAGGCTCTCTTGTATCCCTGATTGGCTTGTCATGGAGATATGGTCAGCCTGACTGCACTGTGTATGTGACATCGGTTGGAGAACTTACAGCATCTGCTTTACAAATGGTGTTGGCAACATGTCGGCATAGCATCTTCAGCCAGTCTGCTTTTGGAAGCTCCTCTGATGTCATCTGGAAGCTGAGCAGTACGTTGGCCTGCTCTGTTGGTGGCCTCACCAGCAAGGCAAAAGCATTATGGCAGTCTAGGGTTCCAGATGAACAGTGTTACTCCTGGGTGTCTAGGAATTTTCATTTCCACCATTTCCACAGACCACTAAAATCAGCTTTCTTTTCCCCCACCCCTGCTTTTAAAAAGGAACCAACAATAACCTGAAAACAAATAAAAAGTACTCTTTGTGACATTTAAATTCCTCAATAATAATTTAATAGATATAATCTTAGAATTTTAGCATTTAAATTTCAAAATTAAAATGGCGACACAAACACTAAAAACTTGCAAAAATCACACACAAAGTATACAAATATTAAAGAGTAACTGCTTTGTAATTGAAAAGCTAAAATAATCTATTTTAAAAATACAATGCCGAAAAAAATTTGAAAAACCTGAAAACAAACAATCATCAAATTCCTATTAAAGAATATGTGGAAACGGGACAACTTGTGAAGACAGTTCTCTCCATCACATGGGTCTCTGAGATCAAACTCAGGTTATCAGGCTTGATGGCAAGTGCCTACATCTGCTGAATCACCTCTCTGGCCTCTCTACCTTCCTAGTCTAGATCGTAAAGACATCTCCCTGACCTATATCTTAACATGAACACTTTCCCAACTATAACTCCCCCAAACTCAAATAATTGTCTCATCATAGGCTCTAATAAACACACAGTTGAAAAACTAAGAGAAAATAGCTTTGTAAGTTACTGTAGGCTGGAGATACAGCTCAGTGGTAGAGTGCTTGACTAGCAGGTGCAAGGCCCTGGGTCTGCTTACCAGCAACACACATGCCTTGCTGCTCAGAGCAGTAGATCACTGAAATAGCTTAAAGTTATTTAAATAACAAAAAAAGATGTTGCCTAAAATAAGCACACAACACTAAGTGCTAGCTAAACAGATAACACTACTTTGGATAAATGTTCATTTTGAGCGTTTTCAGACCTACAGAAAATCATTCAAATACTCAATACTAATAAGTTAGAAGGAAAAGCTTTCGTTAGGCCAGTGCTGCGATATCAATCAGGAATGACACCCAAAAGCTGAGCCAAAGGCCTGTCTCCACCTGGGACCCTGGCTCTGAGCTTTGCAGCTCCACTATGAGTCTCCAGCATGTGCTCTCAGACAAGATGAATCATATCACCACAGTCTACAGCAATGAAACTAAGAAAATGGACTGAAATTTCCAAAATTATCAGCTGAAATATCTTTACAAATAGATTATCTCAGGAATTTTGTTGCAAAAGAGAAAGGTGGCACACATGCAATACACAGGTACACACACACAAATGTTCACATGCCTACTTATTTTTTAATTATATTTTATTTTGAGATAAGGTCTCACCACATAACCATAGCTGGCCAGGAACTCACTATGTAGACCAGGCTGGCTTCAAACTCAGATCTGCTTGCCTCTGCCTCCCTAGTGCTGTTACTAAAGTGAGCTGCCATACTCACCTTTCCCATGTGTATATGTCCATTTATCTGATCCAATGCCAGCCAAGCTTACCAGTTACTGTGGGCTATTTATTTCACATACAACTACTCTTTAACCTCTACCGTTTCTAAAAGAAAATTGTGTAGGTGTCTGTTCCGTGCACACTCACTTGCTAGACTATGTGTGCTTTAGTGGACGATTTGTGGGAGTTCTTTTCTTCCACCATGTGAGTCCCAGGGACTGAATTCATGTCAGTCTTGGCAGCAAGCTCTTTTACATCAAGTCATCGTGCCATCACTACCACAACTCCCTTCCCAAATAAGCATCCTAAAGATATCCCTGGGACCGGAAAGATGCCTCAGTGTCTAGGATCACTGGCTGCTCTTCCAGAGGACATGGGTTCATTCTCGGTACCCACATGCTGGTTCACAACCATCTTAACTCCAGTCCTAGGGATCTGGTGCCTTCTTGTGGCCTCTGTGGGCACTGTATGAATGTAGTGCTTAGACATCCACACGTTATTTTTTTTAACAGGGGGGAAAAAAGAAAGGATACTCCTAGATGTACCATTGGCAAGAAAAAAAGACATTAAAATATATGGAGCAAACAAGACCAGTGATTATGCAAAATGACAGCTGGGTGGTGGTGGTGCACGCCTTTAATCCCAGCACTCAGGAGGCAGAGGCAGGAGGATCTCTGAGTTCGAGGCCAGCCTGGTCTACAAGAGCTAGTTCCAGGACAAGTCCCAAAGCTACAGAGAAACCCTGTCTGGAAAAGACAAAACAACAACAACAAAAGTAGGAACAGCAGGAAATCTAAGTTTCAGTGAGGACAAGCTGTTATTGAGTAAATCCTTTCCCCATGAGCTTACCTTCCGTCTCTCTTATGTCCAACACCTTCTTAATCTGTGAAAGCGGCATTAGATGAATATGCTTAAGAGAAGCTGGCGGTCGGGTGCGGTCATGAGGACTTCTAAAAGTACCAATAACCTTATGCCGTTTTCTCGCTATCTGATTGCAGAGGGAAAGTCATAATCATTATTGTGATAAAACCAAAAGTTCACACATTTAAAAATAACAGCACTAATCACAAAAATCTATATGCAACTAATCTGATGATTAGCCATTCCAGTTACTATGCGATAAAAGCGAGAGACCATGACAAAAAGCACACATGTAATTGTATAGCCAGATGCTCAGTCAGAAAAACAGGCCTAGGGATTGGGGGTGTGGAAAGTCCAAGGGCATAGAAAGACTAAGAAGCAGAGCAAGAACAAGAACAATGGCAGGAGTCTTGAACAAAAGCCAGGAACCTCAGATGGGAATAGTTGTTCTGAGACAGTTGCCCTGGCTTCAAAGGTGCTAACTGTAGTTTAAGGGGAGTATCCAAGTGACAGAATAATACAGAGGAAGTATGAAACAGCTCCTAGTCTCATGACTGTTTACATAAACTGACAAAGGGAAGTAATTCAACACCTGAAATCCCAACTCTAAGGAGGCTAATGCAGGAGGGGACCTTCAGTTCGAGGCCAGCTTGAGCTGCACAATGAGACTGACTAAAAAAAAAAAAAACACACACACACACACACACACACAAAGCAATAGAGATTATAAAGTCAAAGTGCTGTACGCGGCTATAACTTTACCTTAACTGGATACGCAAAAGGAAGAGATAGGTAACTGGAGAAGAGCAAAATCAGAAAGATCCTGTGATTCGTGATATAATGAGATTTTGCCAAAAGAAAAGAAAAAAAGAAAGGAAAGAAAAATCTCCTTTGCAGTAAAACAGATTTTGCTGAAAGTAATTAACATAAAATGAGTGCAAATATTTACTTGAATTGAGACTGACCACCAAGACTAAGACAAATATGTTTAAAAATACATTATGTGGTATTGGGCTAATGAACAAGATGAGCAGCAAGACAGCATATCACATTCCCACTAAGCACATATGCAAATGTCTATTCTATACATCACAAGACTATACCAAATATTAATGGTTCATTTCCATGGGCATAGTGAAAGTAAGCAACATATACTCTAATTCCTCCACAATGAATGGACATGCTTTCTATTTGGCTGACCAATATAAACCACTATTTTTGAAAAAGAAAACCAGAAGAGCATGAAAATCAATGACACAAACATTAATAAGGATGATTTGAAAAAAATTAAAACATAGATAAAATACTCAAATGGAAAATAAATCCTTAAATCTAGATTTAGTTTAACATTAGACATCTGGCATATTAAAGACAGTACAGGTTTTACGGATATTTAACTGTTCCTAATATATAATAGTGATTGCTCTAGGGATTTGTTACATACTATCAGAACATTAAAAATAACTTTTGTCTCAAATTTGCTAAAAGATCCATTTTTCTTTTTCTATTTTTGTTGTTTGATTTTTCTTTTTCTTTTTTCCGAAACAACATTTGTGTAGCCCTGGCTGTACTGGAATTAGCTCTGTAGACCAGGCTAGCTTCTAACTCACAGAGACCCATCTGCCTCTGCCACCAGAGTGCTGAGATTAATGTCATGAGTCATCACTGCCCAGTTGAATTCTATTTTTCTTAAGTGAGCTAAAGAAAAAGGTCTAGCCAGGCAGTGATGGTGCATGCCTTTAATCCCAGCACTAAGCAGGCAGAGACAGGTCGGTCGCTGAGTTAGAGGCCAGCCTGTTCTACAGAGCTAGTTCCAAGACAGCCAGGGCTACACAAAGAAACCGTCTTGAAAAGCAAAAACAAAATAAAACAAGGGTCTATCTGGGAGCTTGAATACTGATGTCCAAATTTAATATTAGAAATACGGCAACTGAACAGACATAGTGACATATGCCTGTAACCTCAGCACTTGAGAAGGTTGGGTACCTCAAACCAGCCAGGAAGACATAGAAGACCCTATCTAAAGCAGCTGGGCTGTGGGTACACATACCAGCAATGAATGAGCTGAAGAGGAAGAGGCAAAAGGATTACAAGATCAGTCCTTACTAGACTCAAAATAAAAGACAATAAGAAGAGACAAAAGTTTCTATTCAAACAACTGAGATAAAATTTAAGAGGATGTACTGGCTAGTTCTATGCCAACTTGAAACAAATTAGAGGCAAAGAGGAGGGACCCTCAGTTGAGAAAATACCTCCATAAGATCTGGCTACGTGCAAGCCTGTAAAGCATTTTAATTTATGAATGCTGTGGGTGGGCCCAGTCCATTGTGGGTGGGGCTATCCCTGGGCTGGTGGTCCTGGGAACTATAAAAAGCAGACTGAGGAAGCCATAAGGAAGAAGCCATTATGGAGCATCGCTCCTGCCTCCAGCTTCCTGCCCTGACTTCCTTTGATGATGAACAGTGAAGTGGAAGGGTGAGCCAAATAAACCCTTTCCTCCCTGAGTTGCTTTTGTTCATGGTGTTTCACCACAGCAATGTTAACCCTAAGACAAGGGAGGGAGAAAAGACACTGGGCGCCATTAGGGTGAACTGAGAGACCAGGGCCTGAAAAGGTACAGGGATTGCTCACAGTAGAATTAATATAGAAGGGAAGCCAGTGGGTCAACTATGGTAAAATATGAAGGGGCCATAAAAATTTAAAAAATAAAAAATAAAATCACTATTCTACTAAAAGCAAAGATAAACTCCACAACAAAACTCTAAGATCGAAATAACTAAACCTAACAGAATGGGGCCAGGAGACCTAGAGATTTCAATAGGAAAAACCTAAAAAAGTCTTATCAGAAACAGTCAAAAGAAAATACAGTTCAACTGTATACAGTTAAGCCCCTGTTAAAGCAAATTCAGGTAAAACAGGATTACAGGTGGCTCCTGGCCTTCTTCTCAAAAGCAAAGCAGGCTGAGGCTCTGACTGCACGGGTCAGGCAGTCCACAGACACCCACTGCATGACGCTTATGATTTTTTTCACTCCAGGATATGGTCGATTGTGTATCATATTATCACTATCTCGTGCTTTTTCTAACATTACAGTCAAACGAAAGTATCACTACTTAACCTCTAAGCACAGAACCCTTTAACAGGCAGGTCTTGAGATTTTACTGCACCTACAGCTGCTCTGTGCATACATACCTTGGTCTCTAAGATTGGCCTGTGTCTTATATTTTAAATAATGGACATGATGTAAGAGGTAGTTCTTTAAGGAAAGCAACACAGAAAAGGAATAAAGAATAGACTTTAAAGAAAAAAGGAAAGCCAGTAGTCACTTTGATGAGGGCAACAGGAAGTTACCCAGTTAGAAACATGTCAAATGAGTTTTTTTGTCTTTTTCACCCAATGAACATCTTTATGTTTCTGAAATAAAGGAAGCTGAATTCCTTTCTAACTGTGCCGAATAGATTCATGTCATTTGACATAAACTAAAATCATATGAGAGAAAGGAATCCGAATTAAGAAAATGCATCCATTAAGATTGGGTTACAGCGAGTATGTTGGGCATTTTCTCAACTGATGTGTGAGGGCCCAGCCCATTGTGAGTGGTGCCATCCTTGGGCTGGTGGTCCTGGGTTCTATGAGAAAGCAGGCTGAGCAAACACGAGAAGCATTCCTCCATGGCCTCTGCACCAGCTCTTGACTCCAGGTTCCTGTCCTGCTTGAGCTCCAATCCTGACTTCCTTCGATGATGACCAAGGATGTGTAAGTGCAAGCCAAATAATCCCTTTCCTACCCTAGCTGCTCTAAACATGCTATTTCATTAAAATAACTAGAATACTTCCCCTCATTAAATTGGTTATTTAAAAAGAAATGTTAAAAGAAGGGAAAGAAGCTTAAAAAGTACATAAAGTCAATTATCTGCTTGTGGGGTATTATGAGAAAAAAAATATCGACTACAGTAAGGTTAGTTTTGGAATTAAAATTATTACATCCCATCAATAAGACCTTCTAATTGTAAAGAATCCACTTGGCATAGTGGCTCATTTGTCATGCCAGCTGACTTGGAAGAACTGCCCCAGGTTCAAGGCCAGCTTGGGCTACAAAATGAGATGCGATCAAAGCAGAAAAAAGAAATCAAGAGATTCACAGAACTAAGTCACAAGTTAGCTCTTTAACTGATTTCATCTTGACTGCAAAGGGGAACTTACATTTAATTAAAACAAAGACAAAAACTGTTAATTTGTAGATCTTGTACATAAAAACACAAGGTTCCCCAAACTCGTAATTTAAGCACTTATCTGTAAGGAATTTTGACTTAAGATAAGACATCCAGAAATTTACCAAAGTTAATATTTTAGACTTTCTCCCAAAAGCATTCCACTGAATGAAATCAACAAATGATTTTAATTTCTTCGGCAAATAACTAAATGTCCCTCAAATTTCTATGCTGTACTCCAGTCAAAGTTTGATTTTAAACATTCAGGGCAATGACAAAATACCTCAGTGTTAAACTGCACTGAGTAAAACTTTACCTCGAGGCAGTCATTGAAGAGGAAGAGAGTGACCTGCTCTCCTCGGTCACAGGGGTACTCGCCTAAAGAAACTGTTTCCACTCTTTGTACTAAGCTTCGATGAGAAGATAGGAGATTAGCCTGTGAACATATAGATAAAATATGGTCAAATGTTATCAAGTAACTTTTACAAGTTGTCGTTCAAAAGTGGTACTAAGACTGCTAATATATTTTTAAAGATCTGTTTCTATTATTCTTATTTATGTATACATGCCTCTTTGAGTATATGCTGTGTGTTTAAAGGGACCCTCAGAACCCAGGTGCTGAATTCCCTGTAGCTAGATTATAGGTAGTAAGTCACTTGACATGGGTGATGAGAATTGAACTCAGGTCCTTTTCAAGAGCAATAAGTGTTCTCAACCCCTGAGGCATCTCTCCAGCCTGAGACTATTTATATAGAAACTATAGAAACCTCATTAAAGCTCAGCTAGTAAAGTTGCTTGTTGTCAAGTCTAATACCTGAGTTTAGTATCCAGGCTCACACAATGGAAGGAGGGAATGGACTCCAAAAATCTGTCCTCTTGATTGCTAACCTGTACGCTGTGGTGTACAAGTACACCATACATGGCATGTGGCCACAAATAAATGTAATTCAAATCAACAATAACAAAAGAAACCTCATTAAAGCAATAAATAAAATGGTAATCATCAAAAAATACTTACTGGGCATCCATCTACTTCATAAACTACATCAAAAATCTGTTTCTGTGCTTCTGTTTTTCTTTTATCCTCATTGATATGCCTGAAAAATTAATGTTTATTCTGTAAAACTTCTATTAAAATAAACATGAAATGATCATATGAATATATTTCAAGTCACAAAGTCTGACTTTCATGCCTTAACTTTGATACATGATGAATCAGATAAACATTCTTCTAAACATTCTATGGATATTAAAAAATATTCACAGATCTTTCAGAAATGTTATGTTTCACTGAAAATATTTTACTCATTTAGTCAATAAACACCTTCTAAGACACAGTTAGCTTGCATATTTAATGTTAACAAAATTCTGAGTTTGAAACTCAGTTAAGCTTTATGTTTTATTCTCACATGGCAGCCACTTCCCTGCGAAGAACACCACACTCATACAGAGAATGCTGAGTCCCTTTCGCCTTTCACCTTTGTGCCCAAAACTAAAATTCATCAAAACAAAGATAATTCTCTTGAAATTAGAAAATGCATGATAGAAAGCCCTACACTTACTGGACGAGAGCCCTAGCCAGCAACTGTATCCTACTAAACACAAGAGATTACACAGCGAGCAGCTCATGAATGCACGCGGATGGGGGCTGTCGCTGAGAGCTCACGGTCAGTGTGGAAAACCTGCACTCGCAGTGCACATCCTCCTGGAGGAAGAATGTCGCTGTCAGCAGGAAACTCCACAGCAAGAAGTTTCCCTCTGGAGCTCACATCTTGCTCAACATCAGCAGGGAGTCTTGAGATTATAAGTCATGAAGGAAAGCGTATATGGACTCAGGATCTTATTCAACAGAACATTCATGAAACTATGAATTTAAGGAATGTTTAAAGACATCTCTTCACTGCATGAAGTTTAATTAATATGAAAAAAATCATTCAAGTAAATAAATATAAGACATAGTAGTACGAAAAAGGACCTATGGATACAAGGTTTACAAAAATGTATCTCTGTAAATCAGAATTTAAATGAAATCAGAAAATACTACGAACAAAACCATGCGCGTGTGAATAGCACGAAAAAGCCTTTGTCTAGGGCCCAAGAAGAAAAAGTCTATTTGTGCATTAATAGCTGTTTTCTTCTAGACCAGGACAATCTCTTTACATACAGTTAATGACAGAAGTAAGCAGCCTGATCAACATACTCTTACAATACTTATCATTTTAACTATAACCAAACTACTAGAAGAATACAAGTCATTTATTGATACTCTTCTAGTTATGACAGAGGTATCACTACCAGTCTAAATCCAATAATAAAAACATGGAAACAAGCCAGCAAGATGGACCTATGGGTAAAAACACTTAAAACACGCAAGCCTGACAACCCTGAGTTCAATCCCCAGAACCCATGTTCACACGCTCATCACAGTCTCTCTCTCTCTCTCTCTCTCTCTCTCTCTCTCTCACACACACACACACACAGACAACTACAAACAACATTTTAAAGTAAAATATAAACTGCTTACGTCATTACTTCTTTTAGTGATCCAATAGCTTTTTCTAACGTGCTTTTGTCAGGGTTTTCGTCAGCTGTATGCTTCTTAAGATCTGTAATAATAACATGGCTTTTTCTATGACTAAAATCAGTACAGTGGTTTTCCACCTACACCTTAAAAGTACATCAATCTTGATGCAGGGTAACTATTTATATACGTAACATCCAACCCCTATATTGAAAAGAAGTTTGTTGCCAGGAATGTCAGAGCAGATCTGTAATCCCTATTACCTAAGGAATTGGAGATAGGAGGACTGCAAGTGTGGAACAAAACTTGGCTGCACAGAATTATCCTTTTTCAAAACAACCAAGGTTGAAGTTTTGCTTAATATGTGTAAGGTCATGAGTTTATTCCTTAGCATGATGGCGTATGCCTAGAATCTCAGCACTTGAGAGGCAGGGATAAAAAACTAATACTGTAGGCCACCTACTAATATACCTAATTAGAGATGCCACATTTGTGTTGATATTTAACAGCCCACTAACTGTCATAATTACATTTAACCTAAAATTATTACTCAGCATAAAACCTGTTCTAGATATAATTTAAATAACTTAAAAGCATAACTTATATATGAAAAATTATTGTGAGTTCCAGGATAACCAGGGTTATTTAATAAAACAATGAGCGGCTGCTACGAGCACACGTTGCTTTAGCAGAGGGCCTAAGTTCAGTGCCCAGCATCCAAACTGAGATGCTCACGCCTACATCTCCAGCTCCATGGGATCTGATGTGCTCTTCTGGGCTCTCCGGGCACACAAACTCACATGTGTACCACCACCAACAACAACACTCAAGCATATAATTAATATTTTTTTAAACGATCAAGAAAGTTTTAACCTAAATTCTTAAAACACTATCTTCTTCCATTAATGTCTCTAAACTATTTTACTAATAAAATTTTCAGAATATGTAGCACTGATTTTTTTTTTAACATTGCTTTGTCTCCCAGTCACAATTACAGACTCCTAGGTTTCTCAAGCTACAATGCTGAATGATCCTGTTATCTCAATACACATTCTTTTTAAATTTCATATGGGGACACATTGCCCCATCACAGAGAGCATTTGTGCTATTGTAGAGGTTCCTTTTTAACATGCTAACTCTGTTTCTCCAGGCTTTTCTGGTGGTGGAGAGGAGAGCGTGTGGTGTGAACGGCATTTGTTCTTCCTTTGTTAATTTTATACAGGGTCACTCTAAGTCCAGCAGGCTGGCCTCGAACTCACGGAAATCTGTCTGCCTCCCAAGTGCTGGGTTAAAGCTATAACCTGGCTCTTCTCAGGTTCCTTACTATGTTCCAACACTTGACAGTCTTACCCATTTAACACCACATCCAACTAATGTTTATGTGGAAGAATCCAAAAAGGCTTAGAAGTTCATTTTAGTCTTGACAGCATCTGATAAACTCCTATTTAACAAAAAGTCTTCCTGAGAGCCAGACATTGGCTCCCATGTATAATCCCAGCACTCGTAGGCTGACTAGAGGAATGCATGGAGTTAAGACTGGCCTATGCTAAAGACCCTGTCTCAAATTAGTAATAAATAAAATTAAGAAAGAGAAGCTAAGTACCTAATGAAATAATTTGGATATGCAAATTTCATTTTAAAAAGATCAGCTTAGAAAACCTAAAAGTTGGATTATTGTAACACTCAACATAATCTAGACAATAGGATAAAGACTGGGGAAACCATTCATACAGCAGTAATTTCAACTACAGAGGTCATCTGGAAGAGAAAAATCCCCCTTTTTTGTTAGCACTGTCATTTATATTACCCAAACATTTTGTAGAAAAAATAGATTAAACAACCAATAAATAAACTCCTGAGTTTCCTACTTTAATTTTTAAAATAAAAAATAAAAACTGACTGACATTACCCTAAAAAATATTGCTTTAGTCAACTGAGCATAAAATGAACAAACATATATGTTTTTAACCAGAAGTAAAATTTAAACCTAAAAGCTATGCGAGAAAATCCTCTTGCCGCTTGCAGTTTTAATCACTAAAATAAGATGTGGGTCTCTGACAGGCTCTGCTGGAGCCCAGGCTGTCTCAGGCCTTCTATGCAGGTCCTCTGCTTCACGTCCCAGCCTGTGACTACAGGGCTGCAGCGCCAGTCCAAACGCACTACTTCCCCAGCTCCAATCTCAGATTGTTTAAATAGGGAAATATTAAATATAAAATATAAGAGCACTAGGAACTTGGGGTATATAAGTCCTCTTCTTCTGATGTTTCTGTGGGAATTCTGTTACTTGAATAAATAGGTTTAAAAACCATGACACCAAGAAATATAAGGAACTTTTAAGCAGAAAGTGACCACTATCATAACAAGGAATGTTAGATAGATCCAAGTATTTGTAGCCTTAGAGACTGCTTTCAAATTTATTATAAATTTGATACCTACATAAAAACAAACTTTAATGCTAAGATCTAATAAACTCTGAAAATAAAAACAAAATAAACTCTGAAAATAAAATTAGCGACTCTTTAAGAAAAACGTGTTACAGACTGGAGGATGGGCTGCTGGCACAGTGCTTGCCAGCATGCAGCATGCAGCTGTGGGCTGGAACAATAGCACTATAGAAACCTATTAATCACTGCAATCAGGACAATGGAGAGGCAGATGTTCAAGATCATACTCAAGAAGAGAAGGAGAAAAGAGGGAAGGGAGGGAGGAGGAAGGAGGAGGAAGAAGAGAGAGGAGAGGGAAGAAGAAGAGGAAGAAGAAACTATTACACTAAAATATCTAAAATTTAAAAAAAAATTGGGCTGGAGAGATGGCTCAGCGGTTAAGAGCATTGACTGGCTTTCCAGAGGTTCTGAGTTCAATTCCCAACCACATGATGGCTCACAATCATCTATAATGAGATCTGCTGCCCTCTTCTGGCACACAAGCATATATGCAGACAGAACACTGTATCTATACTAAATAAATAAATTCTTTAAAAAAAGAAGTTCAAGCAAACCAAACCACAATAAGCAAAGCACCGTTTAGAAGTAAAGCAACGCTGGGCAGCCGCTGTACTGGCCGGATGAGAAGTTCCACAAGGCTCTGCCGACCACACTCTGGTTTAGCTTGATTTATCTAAAAAGAAGTAATTTATTATACACAAAAATAGTTCAAAACATTCTATCACAAATATCCTAGTCAAGAATTAAAAGAGGTAGCAGGTGATGACCAAAGGTAAAGGCACTTGCTGCCACGTCAGACACCCACGTTCAAGCCTCAGAATCTACAGAGACAAAGGTCACGAACCTCTGGCCCATCTTGCGTACACAAGGACAGAGATGAACAACCATGCATGCACATGCACAAAACAAATCAATAAATAAAAAAAGAATCTATGGAGTAGATGTAGAGTAGCAGCTACTCTTTAGCAGATCACCATGATTCAATAATTAAAATTCTGTCTTGGTCAACAAGGTTAATACGCTACAAAGACTGTTCCTCTCCACACTTGTATAAGACTACACACATCACTCCTGAAGATGTTTTAACCTAGCAATTGTTCTGACACCACTGGCTAAAGTAAAGCACTGATGGGAGAAAGACAATCATTAAAGTCAAACACAACATCATTGGAATATCCATAGTGTTCCAAGAATTAATCATTGGTAACATTATTTCCTTTTAAAATCAGCATATGGGCCACCATATGCAAGGTCCTGGGATCAATCCTACAACATCCCTACTCACTCCACTGTGTCTTGGCTCCTCTGTGTAAAATACCACATCTTCTAAGTCTAAACATCATAGTCACCTACAGGAACAACTGAAATTAACACCAGTATTAACATTATAAATTACTCTTTTAAATAGTATTTTAATGAATTCTTTCATAAGTGATTATCAGAGTTTTGTACGAAAGAAATTTATATTACCTTGAGAAATGCATGAAATCTGGGCTTTTGTTTTTCACATTTAATAATTGTTTCTTTGCTCATTTCAAAGAAGTTTACAAACGGAGGATAGGTTTTTACCAAATCTTTTGACTAGATACAAAAAAAGAAAATACAATTTGTTATAAATGTCACCCTTAGACAATGAATCTTTGTGGCACAACTGACAATCAAAATCAGACGTATAAGCAAAAGAAAAATTTTAAATAAGTTTCCTCAATATTTCTATTAAATACACGAATTTGTCTTACAAGTAAGTGTGTGTGTGCGTGCACACACACGCACGCACGCTGTTGATATCTCTTGTTTTCACATCTGTTTCTGTTGAATTTGCTCCCTCGATTAGGATTAAACCAGAAAAAACACCTATCTGAGGGTGTGGCTCAGGCTAGGGTGCTTACTAAGTGATCATCACACACTGTAGAAGGAAAGAAAGAAAGAAAGACTTAAGACTAGGGGTTAACTAGCTCAGTGTTAAGAGTATTTGCATATAATAAAAGAAGCACTATGTCTTCGAGACTCACTATGTAGCCCTGGCTATCTTGGAACTGGCTCTGTAGACCAGGCTGGCCTCAAACTCATAGATCTACCTGCCTCTGCCTCCAAGTGCTGGATTAAAGGTGTGAGCCACCACTGTCCAGCACATGCAATGTTTTTAAAAAAAAAAAAAATCGTAAATATATATAACCATTTGAGGATAGCAAATAATTTTACATAAGTCACTAAACAACTCTGAGATAACTAGTGTTCTGATGATGAACTTGTATAAAGCTGGGAATACAGAAAGCATGTTTCAAAAGTCAAGAACAACTCCAGCATATTCTAGAACAACCATGTGAAATCTTAATGGCATTTTCAACATTTTCTCCCCGATAAGTCTGAAATCTATGAGGTTGTAAACAAACACTTACATATTTAAGAAAGATGTCACCAATGCTTTTGCTCTCATCCCAATTAACAATAAGGTCTTCAAGATCATCCTGAAACAGAACAAAACACTTAAATTCGACAGCTCCTTACACATCTCATACCTTTTATGAGATCTTTTGCTGGGGAAAAAAAAATACTTTATGTAATACCTTAGTGTTAGGTGTAAATTCCTTTTCTCAACAGAGAACTAACCTTTTGTCTACAGAAAAAATTAACCTCTGGATTAAGAAAATATAAACAGCACTGTCAGACAGACCAATCCTAATTCCCCAATATAACTAATAGTTCAATGCTTTGTCTTACTAATTATAAAGCTGATTGGCCTTATCAATTATGAAAATGCTACTTTTAATACTGTTGCTGTAGCAACTAATTTAATACAAGTCATTAAAAATTATAACCTGTAACATGGTCAAGCAAATTTTAGCAAAAGGGACAGATGGTAACTACGGGAAGGCCATATGGCTTTGTTACCAGTACTCAGTTCTGCAGAACGGAAGTGAGCACAGAAAGTAGACAAACGGGAACAGGGAGTCCCAGTGGGAGCCTTCATCAGAACTCTCCCCTCCGGGCTCAGAGACAGTGACTGTAAGAGCCAGGAGGGATGGCTCTGAGGAAGCAGCATCTTCCAGACACAAGATGACTGAACACATACAAACTCGGGGACTGCAGCAGAATGCACAATACTGTACATATGCAAGCCAGACAAAATCCCAGCACTGAGGAGAAACAAGTCCTACCCCTAGCCAAAAAGTTATTTGGAACTAATACCTTCTGCGAAACAGAAAATTAGTTTCTGGCAATGGACTGTCACTGGGCATACCAACCACACGTCAGGACAGGCCTATGTCCAGAAAGAGCTGGTCAACACAAAAGACTCCATGACCTTTTTGTTGTGTTTGGTATATTTTTTTGTCCTGCTAGCTTTTTGTTTGCTTGTTTCTTTGCTTGCTTGGATTTGTTGTTGTTGTTGTTTGTTGTTGAGGTAAGAAACAGGAAGTTAGGTGAGCAGGGAGGTGGGAGCCCCTGAGAAATGGGGAAGTATACTATAAGAAGTATAAAATGAACTCTACTATAAGACTCTTTACCAGAACAGAGGACTAAATGCAGTCGATGAACTATAGTTTGCTAATTTCTGGTCCATAAAATTCCTCAATCCTCCTAAAACAAAATAGTCATAAAAATTTGAATGGGGAGACGGCTCACGTGTCTAAAGCACTTCTTGCTTTTCCAGAGAGCCCGGTTCAGTCTCCAGCACCCACAACTGGAACTCCAGAGTCCAGGACAGCCAACGCCAACCTCTGACCTCTGTGGACACTACACACATATGGTATACATACAAATGTGCAGGCAAAATATTTATCCACATACAATAATTCTTAAAAATGCTTTTGTTGCTTGACAGTGATGGCACATGCCTTTAATCCCAGCAGAGGCAGTCTCCATGAGTTCAAGGCCAACCTGGTCCACAGAGTGAGTTTCAGGACAGGCTCTAAAGTTACACAGAGAGACCCTGTCTCAAAAAGCAAAAATAAATAACTAAAATAAAATAAAATTATTGAAGACATTTATAAAATTTAAGCCGAGAGTAGTGTTTTAAACATGTAATCCCCACTTAAGCAAGGAGGATCACAAAGCCAGCTACATGGTAAGATATGTTTCACAAACAAAACTTACTTTCCTAGCTAGGAAGAAATGCCTGAAATGGAGTCTGGACCAAAGCTACACAGAGAAAGCTTGTCTCAGGAAAAATAAATAAAATAAATAAAAAAATAAAAAAACAAAAACAAGTCAGTAAGAAGAAAAGGCAAAACAAAGTGGAAAGTTCACAAAACAACAACAAATAAAAACAAAAACAAAACCACTATGGAGTTCATTTTGTGTTGATCCTACTCCTGAGCACAGGGTCTCCCCTGGAATGCAGTTGATATGCCCAAGTAGGGTTCCACAGAAGAAATACCTGAACTGTTACAATAAGTATACACAGCCTCCAAAGAGAACGCCATCAACCTTCAATGCATGTTTACCTTTATCTTCATATGCACATCAAAGATATCTGGGATGCTCCCAAAAATAGTCTTGATCTCCTCTGGTGCAAGAATAGGTCCACCACGTTGCCCTTCTTCTTCTAAGGGCACCTGGAATAACTAAAAGGGGCTCCAGTTTAGGGAATGTGAGAGAAAGAAGACTAAAGTACAAACAGTGACCAACAGTGTGGGCGGCATCATAAGCAGCCGAGGGGAAAACCTCTCCTAAATTTCACAAGCTTTCCTCGGGACACCGCATTTTCACTCACATATTCATATACTCTGTTACGTAGAGGAGGGGTGTCAGGTGCACTGGCTGCTCTTCTAGGGGACCCAGGTTCAGTTCCCAGCCACCATATGGTGGTTTACAACCTTCTGTAACTCCAGTCTCAGGGAAACCAATACACTCTTCTTGGTTCCACTGGCACAGCGGCAAAACACCCATAAATTAAAAAAAATAAATAAATAAATCTTTCTTTAACAAAAGGAATCTAACAAATACATTATTAGAATTAGTAGAAAAGTAACCCCTACACTTTATTCAATTTGTAAGGAAGAAAGCAATAAGTTTTCTAGACATATAATAGTACAATGCTAAATGTTTTAGAAATAGTAGCACAAAAATTCAATAGCAAAGAAAATAGATTTCCAAATCTCATGAGAAAACCTGAACTCTGCCCACTTATTGCTACAACTTTTTTTATATTATTAATGTCAGTGTGTGTATCTGTGTGTGAAAGCTTGAAGGGGAGATGTAAAGATGGAAGAGAAAAAACCTGGGTGCACACATGCGACAGTGCACATGCAGAGGTCAGAGGAAAGCTTTGAGAAGTCCATATTCCCCTTCCACCATGAGATCCTGAGACCAAAGCAAAGTCTTTTGAGGTAAGTGCAATTTTTACTCATTGAGCCATCTCACTAGTGGGTCCTGCTGTACCAGTTATAAGGAGAAAAAAACCCAAACCAAACCAAACAAACCAAAAAAAAAAAAAAAAAACACCTCGAATAACAAATCACACATAAGCACATCTTATTCATATGACCCAAAAATAAATCTAACACAAAACTTAAACTGAGCGTGGCAGCGGACAACTTTAATCCCAGCATTTGGGAGGCAGAGGTAGGTGGATTCCACAACATCAAGGTGAGTCTGGTCTACATAGCAAGTTCCAGTGCAGCCAGAGCTACATAGGAAGACGCTGTCTCAAAAGTTAAAGAAATTTAAAGAATGTAAAAATCGGTGCCACATAATACAAGACCATTTAAACACATGTATAAGTAAGATACATATGCTCAAAACCAGAGAGCTGTGGGTGAAACCAAACACCAAATCACATACACAGTCACAGACTGAAACTCAACACAGTAAGGATGACAATACCACCCAAAAGAAAACCCAATATCCTTTAAAAGAACAAGACACAAAATCATAGAAAGGAAACAAGATGGGGAGAGTCTTTTAGAAAGTTGGCAGCTCACGCGTACTTACTTGAATGATTGTTGCCAGGATATTGACGTAATTACTCTCCGTCTGGTAGAGCTCTCTTGCCACTTGCCACCTGGCTGACTGCTTTGGAGGAACTGGAGTAGAACTTCTCGAAGACTTAGCACAAGACTTGGGTGTTTCTGAAAAGGAAGAGAGGTTTAACTGGAAGGCGGATCTAAACACTAGACAGACTTACTAGCACCACCATAGAGATTTCTGTTAAAGTAAAATTTCCTGTGAGACAAGGCCAGAAAAACACAGTGACCAAAAAGGTCATTAATTCAGAGCTGAAAATATAGCTCAATGGGAGAAAGCTTACCTCACAGATGTGAATGAAGTTCTAGGTTCAATCTCAACACCAATTAAAAAACTGATGGAGATTTTACTAATAAATGGCCTATAGTCTTTAAATCTGCCAAGGTCATTAAATTAAAAGGAAGTTTCCTAGATGGCAGGAAACTAAATGATGAAAATAATGTGTATCCTGGGTTGTATTCTAAACTAAAATACAAACTTTTGTTATTGTTGTTTGGGGGGGGGCTAGAAATCAAGGTTTAAGAAAACTAGAGAAATCTAAAGTAAAATACAAGAGAGGTTCGTGCTATTGATGTTATAACTGCTATGTGGTTATTTAGGAAATGTCTCCAAACGAGCTGCAGTGTGCATGTCTGTAAGCTCATCATTCAGGACGCTGGAGGAAAGCATGGCTTCCCAAACACCCAAGGAATACAGTGCTACCCCGTTCCTGTCTCAGATCAGGGCTGGGAATGCACCTCCCCAGCACGTGGGGTCCTGAGAGCAAGTCCAGTACTCAGAAAGCACGAACACAAAATGACCAAATGCAGACTTAAACATCCAGAGCTAAAGACTTACCATGCCGTCAACTTATTCCCTCTCAGAGTACAAATGTATATGGAAGAATATATGTGTGAAGACTTCTGACTGAATTGATTCTAAAGAAAACATGGCAAAATAATTCCATGTAGAGAACCTGAAAACTCAGGTTTTTTTAAAAACCAAAAAAACTAAAAATTAAAATAAAATAGAAAATAAATGTTAAAATACTTCAGCGTAAAACAAGAGGAATCCAGGCACTATGTTGTATGCCTTTAATCTCAACACTCAGGAAGTAGGTGAATCTTTATGAGTTCAAGGCCAGCCTGAAGTGACTTTCAGGACAGTCAGGACCATGTTAAGAGACCCTGTCTCAAAAAGAAGAAAGTAAATCATCAAAGAGGAATGGGTGGGCTATGATTACACTATTACAATAATGTAAATGTCCTCTACACTGACAGAGGGCCCCTTTCACAGATAACCAAATGGCTCTGTGCTTAAGAACATTGGCTGCTTTTGCAGAGTTCTAGGATCAGTTCCTAATACCCCAACAAAAGTTCAGAACTGACTAACTCCAACTCCAGAGTTAGCTCCAAATCCCTCTTCTGACCTCCAGAGAGCAGTGGTTCTCAACCACACTGCGTGTGTGTGTGTGTGTGTGTGTGTGTGTGTGTGTGTAGAATGACCCTTTCACAGAGGCCACACATCAGATATCCTGCACACCAGACATTAGGATTCTGAACAGTAGCTTAACTACAGTTACAAAGTAGCAACAAAATAATTTTACTGTTGGGGTGGTTGGGGTCACCACCTCATGGAGAACTGTATTAAAGGAGCACAGCATTAGGAAGGTTAAGAAGCACTGCTCTAGAGGAACCAGATATGCCCATGGTGTACACACACACATGCTGACAAAATATAAAACATTCATACAAATTAACTAAAACTCTAAAAAATTAACAAAAAATTATTAATTCAAAGTATCTCAACATAGAAAGATCTAGTCCAACCCAAAATGGGAGAAGACAGAAGAATTAGCATGTTTTAAGCATATATCATGAAACAAAAATTGGCTAAGAGCTTAATATTCACTTTCGTCCTATCATATGATTAGAGCACTTCAGCATCACATGTGCAGCTTCCTAGGACGATTTCACAGGAAAAAGGAATGTTTCACAAAGAAGTATGTGGGATGGAAAAGAGTAAATAGTCCTAACCCTTACCTACTTTTACACAAATATTTTTAAATATTTTTATGTTAAAACAATGATGTGTATTGTGAAGCTCTAAATTGTTTGAAAACAGTAAGAGTTCCAAACATTCCCCACATGCCCTACACTCAGCAGTGCCGTGAGCCTCAAGACACTTGAATGAGGAACGTCCGCGATAGAGTGATGTTAAATTACACTGTGTCTAACTGGGGTCCGCCAGCTGGAGATCTCAAGAGTGCATTCGCATGTCTGCTTTAATGGTTAGTTTTCTATCTCCTAAACTGCATATTCAAGCCCTAGATCTTTAAGATTGGTTCCTTACTACCTCAAGCCCTTGTCCACTACAAATACAGGACCAAGCCAAATATGGTCATGCAGGTCTGTGACCCCCGTTACTCGGATGGTTGAAGCAGAAAGATTTCAAATTTAAAAGCTACTCACATAGAGACAGAGACCCACACTGGAGCACTGGACTGAGCTCCCAAGGTCCAAATGAGGAGCAGAAGCAGGGAGAACATGAGCAAGGAAGTCAGGACCGTGAGGGGTGCGGCCACCCACTGAGATGGTGGGACTGATCTAACAGGAGCGCACCAAGGCCAGCTGGACTGGGAGTGATGGAGCCTGTGATCAAACCGGACTCTCTGAATGTGGCTGTCAATGAAGGCTGACTGAGAAGCCAAGCACAATGGCACTGGGTTTTGATTCTACTGCATGGACTGGCTTTGTGGGAGCCTGGTTTGTTTGGATGCTCACCTTTATAGACCTGGATGGAGGGTGGAGGACCTTGGACTTCCCATGGGGCAGGGAACCCTGACTGCTCTTAGGACTAGAGAGGGAGGGGGAGGTGGGGAGTGGGAGGGAAAAGGGAGGTGGGGAGGAGGTGGAAATTTTTAATAAATAAAAAAATAAAATAAAATAAAAGCTACTCACTTTTCACCTGACTAAAACTGAACTATCATCTTCAAAGATAGTGTCATTTAGGCCGAGGCACTATCTCCTTCATTTAAATTACCACATGTGGTAGCACACACCTGGAACACTGACTTAGGGGGTGAACAAGAGGATTAGTTCAATGCCAGTCTTGGCTACATACAAAATCCAGAGTCAAGACGGGCTATGAGACCGTCTCAATGAAACAAGGAAAAGAGTTACTACAGTACAAAGCCACTAAATGACTTTTAAAGCCGAGACGTGACATGTTTCAATTTTTCCATTTTTAAAAGACTTATGAATCCAAAATGTATAAAGCCAAAACTCAAAATGGAGATGTAATATAGGAAACCACAATATAAAAAAAAAGCCCCATATACAAGAAAAACTGAGGAAGGGAGGATGAGAAAAGACAGGAGTTGAGTGTAGTGCAGAGGTTCAGAAGTTCTCCTTTGGTTAAATTTAAGACTCCTACTACAAAAGGACAGAAATGTCTCAAGTTAGCAGTTAAACAGAGAAGACACAGTCAGGTAACATCAGCAGAAAAAATTAAAGACATGGAATTAAATGAGATCACTAGAAAAATACAATGAAGAAACTCAGAAAAACCATAAAGCATTTGGAAGTTAGAGTTGGAAGGAAAAGTTAGGCAAAGGAGAAAGAAAGAAGCTACATCACAAAGCCCGGGAAGGTTGGAGAAATGCATCCATGAAGGAGTCTAGTTGTCAAACACTGAGAACTGTGAATTAGATAAAGACCGGCGCCTAGGCAGAGAAACTGTATGCAGTATGGACTGCTACTCAATGGAGAGAGCTGAAAGGACAGGAGAAATGAGAAATGAATTCATGATCAATCAGAACACACTATGGAGTCTAAAGCTTTTTGTCTTAAATATAGGAAACACTACATATTCACAGAGAGAACTACTGGTGATCAGAGCAGTGTTAATTATAGTTCTCCTGTCAGTTCCACAATAAGAGACATCACCCTCTTCTGACTTAACCCCACCTATTCATTCACCTTATTTTCCCCATAATAAATGTAACATTTCTTACAACTATGGTGGTGTGTTCCTAAAATCCCAGCACTTGAAGAGCAGAGTGGTCAGCAGTTTAAGACTGGCCAAGGCTACCTGAGACCTTGCCCCCACCAAAAAGCAAGCCACCCTTTAAAATAGCTGTCACTCTCCAGCTATAGCCCTGGGCACGTCATCACACCCTGACCCTAAGTTCAGTGGCCTGCAGATCAGACACCACCTATTACAAACACACAAAAAAGCATAGAGTAACAATTATTCAACAAAAGCATTACTATACACAGTGGACACAGTTGATTGATTTGTGGGATATTTGTGTGTGTGTGTGTGTGTGTGTGTGTGTGTGTGTGTGTGTGTGTGTGTTTTGTTTTAGACAGAGTCTCACATTGGCCACACTGCCTTAAATTCATCTTCTGGTCTCTACCAGCCCAGTACAAGCATTACAAGGGCTATGCTTAGCTTTCCAAGTGTCTTATTTCCTCAACTAGAATAAAGTTAATTAATAGAAAACCTTTCCTATTCATTCACTGTAGTAGAGATTTATTCTTTTAGTCATTTCAGTCTATTCCATTTCAAAGATTAATTTAGAAAGATGTGAACTACCTCCATAGTGAATGCTAGACTCGGGTGTGTTGGAGATATCAAGGAGTGAGCCAATAGACAGGGAATGCTCAGCCGAGGGCCGCTTCCGGGGCGGGAAAGGGGAGAGGTCGGTCTCTCTGGAGAGCTGAGCCAGGGTTTCTCTCAATCTGCGTCTTTTGCGGTTGCTGTTTGGAGTACTCAGTGACAGCAGAGACACCGACTTCTTGAGCTCAGGAGTGTTCGTCTGAAACCAAAGCACAAAAGCTCAGTGTTGTGATGGTTCTGACTGAGACAGGAATGCAAAAGACACATCCCAAGTGGCAAAATTCCAAATTTTGTACAATGATTCTTAGAATCTTATAGTCTACTAGACAATTCAGAAGCTTCATAAAACAGAAGGGCCAAAACAACACTATAACTGGCAGCCTAGCACCTCTTTTTCAGAGCCCCTTCTCCATGAATTACTAACTGTTTTTTTGCTTGTTTACTAGCTACTCTTTTTAGGGCATGACCTGAGAGAGAATGAGCCACACATTCTCCTTTTGTCCAAGCATATAGAGTGAGGGAACTAAGTACACGCCAGTATTTCCTGAGAAACACTGCCAGCTCAAACAAGGGTTTGAGAGCTCTCTGTGCATCTAAAGCACATCTGAGACTTCACTGGGAACTGCACATCAAGAACAAGACCGAAGAGCACAGTGAGATAAGTGCACACATCTTACCGAGGAAACATGAAGTCTACAATCTTACACTCAATATAGCATTCAGAAATTATTTTCACTCTACTGAGGCGGGTCTTGCTGTGTAGCCTAGGCTCACCAGGTACTTCACTACATTGCCCTGGTTTGGGCCTCAAAACTCACTGGAAAGCTGCTGAAGCCTCCTGGGTAACAAGATTATGATCATGTACATCATGCCTGAGTTCTCCACTCAAACTTACTAAATCTCTAACTGAAATAACTCTTCCCATAAATCTGTTTAATAGTCCTCCTTCTTGCCAGGCGGTGGTGGCATACGCCTTTAATCCCAGCACTAGGGAGGCAGAGACAGGCAGATCTCTGTGAATTGGAGGCCAGCCTGGTCTACAAGAGCTAGTTCCAGGACAGGCTCCAAAGCTACAGAGAAACCCTGCCTCGAAAAAAAAAAAAAATAGTCCTCTTTCTTGATACCCAACATGAAAACAAGATCTTTCTTGCTTACATTCTACTAAGAAAATTACCTTTTTAAGAACAATGACTCACGGTTCTGAATGATAAACATGTGGCTTTAGGATATTAAGAACTCTGAGTCTTCCATCTACTGAAATCTACCCACTGCTGTTCTTTTCCATAACTGTTTTAAATGTCACCCTCAACTACTTACTACTTTAAAGTTGTCTCAAACTTTCCTCTCCCTCACTGTTCTAATTAATGTCCTTACTTGGTTAGTCTCGAATGCTGGTTCAACATTCGCTAGTCCCATTCAACCTTGCAGAGCCTCTCAGACTGAGATCTCTACAATGCTTGAATACAACCCACCTTTGACCTAGTAGGTTTCAAGTTTCTAATGACAAAGGTGTTACTGTTGATGCTGGTATCATCAACAATCAGTGGAGAGTAACTGGTGTTACAATCATGACCAAAAGCAGCTTGGTGAAGAAAGGGATTATTTCACCTTACAATTTACAGTCAGTCCATCCATCAACCAGGGAAGTCAGCACAGGGCACTGGAGCAGGAACTGAAGCAGAGGCCACGAAGAAGTGCTGCTTACTGGCTTGTTCCTCGTGAGCTGCTCAGCCTGTTTTCTTACGGTTCCCAGAACCACCAACCCAAAGGTAGCAGAGACCACCGTGAAGTGGATCCTCCCACATTGACCAAAAATGTACATGACAGGTTTGTCCACAAACCAATCTGGTGGAACATTTGCTCAACTGAGGTCCTTCTTCACAAGTGACTCCAGCTGTGTCAAGCTGACACGAACTCATCAGGACAGTGAAAGTTGCCTCACTGCACTGCAGCTCCACTAAAATTACATAGACTAAGAATATGGGTATATTCAACTACTCTTTATACATGCATACAACATGTATGCAATTATACCATGATTTCTACATGTTCTGGAAACAAAAGAATCACTTTTCTAAAAAAAAAAAAGAAAGAAAGAAAAAAAATCACAGACCCAATAGCTCAAGAGCAAAAACATACCTTTTCATACAAATACATCGTCTCTCCAGCACGAGCATCCATTTGAATGCTTCCCCAGAACCACTAGAGGAGAAGAAAATATTTAAGTTAAATCTAAATCTACCTCAGCAGAGAAATTATTGCGCTGTTAAAGCTGACTAATTTCACTCGAGTTACTTGCCTCTTGCTTGACAACAAAAAGTTTCTTGGAAGGTTCAAATGGAAGTTCCTTTACTGCATTCTCCTCAACAATAAGGTGGGTGCACCTTTCATCCCCAACTGGTAAACAGCTGCCTCCTAGAGAACAGGACACAGCCACGCACAATCAGCCAGAAAACTGCTCTCCCACCGCCATCTCTACAGCAACTATTTATTAGGAAGTGGTTAAACAAGTCTGGGGAGAAAATGTAGATAACTTTTATGGTATCAGCCTTTTCTAATAAGGGCTTCAAGGGTTTATTTTGGCTTGGTTCAAAGGTTCATTCATGGCAGATAAGCAGGGTAGTAAAGCATAAGATGAGTGGTCAAATTTCAGGAAGCACAGGGCCTACGCTCACTTTCTCCTTTGTGTGTATGGGACAGCACACTCACGGCAGGCTAGACCCTCGTCTCTGAGCCGCCGCACATACCAGGCCATCTTACCTTGCATTTCAGTCATTTCTTCCATACTGTTTTTCTCTTCATCTGAAAATCCCAGGAAACTTAAAATGCAATCTTGAAATGGAGGAACTTTAAATTCATTTCTAAAGTCATCAACGTCTGCACTGAAACACCTAGAAACAAATGCACATCTGCTTAAATTCATCAGTTAGGCGCATCCACTTCCAGCATCTCAGTATTATATAGGCCTTAGTATAAGGCATTTATTGAAAATATTTTACCTAAGATCCTGAACTGTTCACAACTACAGTTGGCTTTTGGTTTTGTCTATTTTATTTTTTTAAGAGACAGGGTTGTCTGGGATGTTGCTTAGTAACATGGATAGGCCCCAGGGGTCCATTACATCAAAACAAGTGCAATCACAGACAACCTTCACATCAATCAAATCCTGGTTGTTTGGGAATTTATATCACAGATATTCTCCAATTTCATGAAATTTTACACGATGATAAAGTGCCACAGCAGAGAACGAGTAATTGGAGAGTTAGTAAAACAAGATAATAAATTGCAAGCAGCAATTCAAACATAAAGTAAGAAGAAACTATAATATAATCCAAATACCTGAAAGCATTAAGCTATTACCTAGTAAATTTTAAAATGTGTATGATAAATACAAAATTTTAATTGTATGTGTGCACATGAGCCGCAGTGCACACATGGAAGTCAGCGGACCCCTAGAAGTCTAATCTCTCCCTGATATGAGCCTTGGGAATCAAACAGGGTCAGCAGGCTTGGTAGCAAGCACCTCCACCACCAAAGCATTTCAACTGCTCAGTCAAAGTATTTCACAAAAATCAGCCTGTGAGACGACTCAGCAGGTAAAGGCACATGCCATGAGTGCCTTACAGTGTAAGGTCAATCCCTAGAACCAACTCCACAGAGTCCTCTGACATCCAAAATTGTGCTGAACCATGCATGCCCACACACACACTATCATGCATACACACAAAATTATTTTACAAAGTAAAACCCAATGATACTAAATCTTTCAATTAATTGTTTCATAATCTATGTTTTACTTCCTAAGCTATTCAAAGACTAAATTTATTTTTTTTCCTTATGATCTACAAATTTAGTTTTTGTTGGCACATGGCTTTATTTTTAAAAACAAAGGTTTAAAATCACACATTTAAAAAAATAATATGCTGGACTAGAGAGATGGTTCAGTAGTTAAGAACCCTAGCTGCTATTCCACAGGACCCAGGTTTGATTCCCAGGACCCATATGGTAACTCCAGTTCTAGAGGATCTGATGCCATCTTCTGGTTTCCTCAGGGACTACATGCATGTAGTGCAAAAAGGTGCATTCAAGTATGTATGTACACACACACACACACCAATTTTTTTTAATAAGTTGAATTCACACAAACTATTGGATGCCTAAGCACTTACTGCTCATCCCGTCTTTCCCATGCTTTATAAATCCACTCTGGCTTCACAATGGGAGTGCCCAGGCTCACAGCAACCTAAGAATATTAACATCAACCACAGTAAGTTTCCACTTTAAACAACTGCACTCAAGGAAATTCTTCTAAAGAACTGTGCAAAAGTCTTAGCAAAATTTGACTTTATATTTTGTTAAAGATAAAGTAATTTTAAAATAAGTCCACGGTACTCAACTTTTTTTACTTTCTTTTTTTTTATTCTTTGAGTCTTTCACTTCACACCATTCGTCTTTCCATCCCTTCCTAACTGCCCTCTCTCCTTGCAATCTCCCACCATTAAATAAAACTTAAGAGAAAAAAAAGGTCATCACGGAAGCTGCAGTGTAACACATGAGTTAGGTAGTAACCCTTTGGTCCATATATCCCTTCTTCCAAGTGTTTACTGCAACAAGTCATCGGTCTGCTTCAGGCCTCTTTCTGCTACACCATCGATGCTGGGCCCTCACTGCGACTCCTCTTGGATACCCTGTTGTTGCCCTGTGTAACAGAGATCCTGCGGCTTTGGGTCTGCAGGACTGGACCCTTTACATGCTCCAGCCGATCACAGATGGGGTGGATGTTGGGGTGAGCCAATCATAACCCTGACTCTGAGTCTGGGTAGCTGTGCAGTTGGTCATCCCTCTAGCTCTCCCTTGTCCTCACCACCAGGGTGAGCGCTCCAGCACTGTCCCAGCCTAGTTCATCCTTGCTGTAATAACAAAGGGGTCTGGTCAGCTCTCTTGCTTTCAAGCCCTTAGGGTCAGCTCTCCCAGACCTGGAATATCAAAGCCAGCTCCACTGTGCTGCCCAGAGAAGGTCTAGGGGCCATTCTTTCTCCTGAGTGCTGAGGCTGGTGAGGAGAGCTCTCCCACCTGCGGGAGGTTGGGGGTAAGAGGCATCTCTCCCAGGCCTATACCACCATATGGCAGATTAGGGGCAGACTCAGATCTCCCACACCCCTCAATAAGGTCAGATGTAGTGTGCTGCCCAGGAGAGGTACCCAATTCTTTCATTCTATTTTCTATAGACATAGTTCTTAAATTTATGCTTATTAAACTTTGGATTCTCCTTTGTTTCCAGTTTCACACCTTCAAAGTACTTACTGGCCAACATAAGACTAAAAAACAAAACAAAACAAAACCAAAAGACAAAAACCATGGGACTAAGTCACTACACTCTTATGAGTTTAAATTATTAGGTGAGATATAGAAAAAAGGCTCAATGCCTGCTATCAAGCCTGATGACCTGAGCTCAAACCCAAGAATCCACGTGGTGAAAGGAGAGCCAAACTCCTAAAACGGAGGTTCTTAGAGGGGGAGGGGGCTGCCATGACAGCATAGCCAGCACCACAATCTGACACTGACCTTGCTATTAAGATAAATATGAGGCATTGTGTAGGATCTTGTAGCTATCAGAATAATCTTGTTGTCTAACTTAATGTAGAATGATGCAGTATTACAAAAAAATTAAAAGCAGTGTGTATTTTTGTATTTCTTTCTTTTGTTAGGATACTATAATCGTAAAACAAAGGCGGTATTTATTACCCGAGTTTTATGAACAGCGTGCTGCTTGTTACTTAAGGAGTACTGAATGGACAACTGAAAAGCTTTCCGTGTGTACCACAGAACTGACTTATAATGAGTGTCATCTACCAGCCCAAATTTTGACCCTGAAGATTTTGATACTGTTTGAAGGGTAAGTTGTCCTTACTAAGTGTAATGCTACTGGACAACATAAAACTGAAAGACAAGTAAGATTTCTTAGACTACTGGCATTCACAGAGATAGAAAATAAGTGTTGATCTGAAGCAAGTGAAGGAGAGGCCGTGAAGTTAAGAACAAAAGGGTTAATAGATGGATTATAACAATAACTGCACAGTAGATGTAGTTATGGCATTGAATTATGAACTTAAAATTACTGAAGTTTTTGTATATTTTAGGTATATTTAATCACAATAGGAAACTGTAAGTCTACTAGTGATAGTGAACAATATTACTTTCTTATCACATAGGAATGAATTAGGTAAGTAAATTTAATTTTCAAACATACCTATGATATTCTAGACACTTCTACCCTACACCCATTGCTAACTGTCTATATTATGCTCTAGAACAGCGATACTCAGCCCATGGGGGCTGACATATCAGAATAAATCGTGCATATCAGATATTTACATTAGGATTCATAACAGTAGCAAAATTACACTTACAAAGTAGCAACAAAATAATTTTACTATTGGGTCAGTTGTTATGGGTCACCACCATATGAGGAACTATACTAAAGGGGTGCAGCATTAGGAAGGTTGAGATCCACTGCTCTTGAGGCACCAGACATGCACACGGTGTACACACATGAACAAAACGATCACACATAACAGCATTAAGAAGGTTGAAAACAACCATTCTGTAAGCTTTCTTCTGATATCCTATGTTCAACATGACACACACACATGTATTATTTGGGGAGTGTGCAGAGGCAAAGGGTGGATGTAAAGGGCCAAGGAAATGAATGAGTTAAGATAATATGATGTAAAAGACCCAAAGAATAAATAAAATTTTTGAAAAAAATCAGACTGTAGGCAAGCTTGTAGAGCAGTTTCCTAGATTTTCTTAATCAGTGATTGAGAGATACAGGAGGAATCAGCTCATTGTGGGTGGTACCACCCCTGGGCAGAAGGGCCTGGGGCGTAAAAGCAGGCTGAGCAAGATATAGAGAGCAAGTCAATGAGCAGTATTCCTTCACAGCTTCTGTATCTAGGTCTGTCTTGAGTTCCTGCCCTGACTTTCTGTGGGGATCAACTGTGATGTGAAACTGTAAACTGTAAACTGAAATAAAGCCTTTACTCGGCCCCCCAAAACAACCAAACGAAACAAAATGACCCTGCCTTGGGAGGAAAATACTTTCTCCTGTTTCTTTTTTTAAATAGATAATCCTTTCTTTTTAATGTAAGATAATTAACATGGGGTCATTTTACAAAAGGCTATAGCCTTTTGTAAACAATCAACAGTGAAATATCTGTTCTCACAATTCTTTGTTTGTTTGTTTATTTTTTTTTTTTTTGAGATAAGAGTTTCTCTGTAGCTTTGGAGCCTGTCCTGGAACTAGCTCTTGTAGACCAGATTGGCCTCAAACTCAGAGATCTGCCAGGATTAAAGGCATGCGCCACCAACTATTCACAATTCTTGACCCGCCTGTCTCTACTGGTCATACCACATTTGCGAGCAAAACCCATCTCCCAGCTCTCACCGTCTCACTCACCTTTCAACATCTAACTTGAGTTTCACTGCCTTCTTAAAGCCTAATTGGCCACAATCTGTGATTTAAACCTGTCATAGAGATTCTGCTTTTCTTCCCTTTTGTTTTTTAAAACGGACTCAAATAACACAGGCTAACCAAACTGCTGACCCTCCCATTGCCACCTCCAACATGCCAGGATTATACCATGCAGTACTGAGAAAGGTGTGCAGTGCTGGGGCCTAAAGAGTCCTTCCTGCAAGCTGGGCAAGCACTCTGTAACTGAGATATATCACAAACCCTTTACCAAGCACTCCAACGGCAAAATTTCAATCTGATCCTCAAAAACGGCAGAATCAACAAAAGAGTAATATTAAACCCATACCAAGCCAGGCATGGTAGAGCTGGACGGGTAAACAGGAGGATACTAACAAGCTCAAAGCTAGCGCAGCCTACAAAATGATTTCTAGACTGTCCTGGACTATACTATGAGGCCATTTCAAAACAAACATAAATAAAAAACCATTACAGAGTAATACTATATTGAAAAAATAATATTAAGTTTACATACCCTGAATTTTTCTCCTTGTGTGCAATTTGCCACCAGATGTGTTACTTTGGAATTACATTCTTTTCGAATAACTCCACCCATATGATGAACCAATGTCACCAATTTCACCTCAAAAGAAAATATGACAAAATTGATTTTAATTATTTTAAACAAATCTGTATTAATAACTCATTTAGCATAACTACTTTACAAAATTTATACAAATTTTATATAAAAAATTAACGAGTAGCTTACTGCTGTTGCTACAGGCAAAACTATACAAAGACAAAGAATGCGCAGAGTGTTAAGTTAGCAGACAACTGACTCTAACACATTTATTGCTTCCGTTTCCACCTGATTTACTTTTTATAATATTGGGTATCAAGGCCAAGACCATACCTCCACAAATATATTGATTTATTTTTTCAAGAGTTTATTTATGTGTCTGTGAGTATACACACATAGAAGCAGGTATTCAGAGGCCAGCAGCAGGGGTCAGTTCACCCAGAGCTGGTGTTACAGGCAGCTGTGAGCTGCCTGACATGGGTGCTGGGAACCAAACTCTTGTTCTCTAATGAGCAGCAAGTGAGCCACGTCCCTAGTCCCAAATATACTGACTTTTAACATCAGGTTATATAACATCAATATTTGTCACACAAATTTCAGCAACATTTACTGGTTCCAACTTACTGTGAACCAAAAAACTGTTTCTGTGATGTCTCTGCGGTGGGAAGAATAAAGTTTTGCTTGCATAACAATATCAATTCTGCGTATTAAAAACGTCAGTTAACTAATGTAACTGATCATTAGCAGGAAAGTAAAATTTTCTATTAATTTACAGGATAGCTAGCACTTACAAAACATCCTTTTTTTTTCTTAACAAAGCTCTTAAGAATTTTTCTTTAAAATTTAGAACCTGATGGTCCCAGCATTTTTTCCTTCAAGATTTTTAAATGAATTCATGATACCAAAAATAAATAAATAAATGTATTTGAATCTGCAATACTAGGAAAATGTCTTTGAAGCTGCTTCATACTTACGAGCTCTTCCTTCTTCCTGAACCCAGTGAAGCACAGCACCAGGTTCAGCATGCTGGTACAGTACAGTGGCCGACAGGAGAACGGCAAGGGCTGTGGAGGACATCATTTTAAACCTATGAGCTTCCTTTACACTTAGGATTTAGAAAACATTTCCTCAAGCTTAATGATTTCTCTTCTTGCCAATTAACTTTTCAATACCCAAGGTTTACTTGAATTTTCCAATAATGCGGAGGAAAGGGGAATAATAAAAGTCAGTCTCTAAACTCCACATTAAACATCTTCCTGCCAGCCGTGACTGTATACTCCTATAATCAGTCTCAGCATTCAGGAGGCTGAGACAGGAGGATTGTAAGTTTAAGACCATCCAGGAATACAAAAAGGCCCTACCTCAAAAAACAGCTTAAAAATGGAACTGGGCATAGGGGCAAGCCCCTGAATCCCAGCACACGGAAGGCAGAGGCAGACAGATCTCTGAGAGTTTAAGGCCAGCCTAGTCTACAAAGTGACACCCAGAACAGCCAGAGACACACAGGCCTTGTTTTCCAAGGAGGGGGAAAAGCACTTGCTGGCAAACCTGATGACCTGAGTTTGAACCCTTTCACCTTTCACCATAATGGAAGGAAAACCGGATCCTCCAAGTTGTCCTGTGACACACACAATATGTTAAAAATTGGGGTATGGGGGACTAAAATAATCTTATTAAAATCTTACAAAAATGGATATGGCACCAGCTTTAAATGGAAAAAAGAAAGGTTTATGTGTACTGTACACATTTCTGGAAACCAAACCTCTGCAAATCTGTCCTAAGGTATTACAGGTGTCATAAGTAAAGCCATATGTATGGGCTTTTACATACACACATTGTATGGCTTTCAATGGCCTTGGGTTTTGACTACTAAAAAATTAAAAAGAAATACATAAGAATAGTCCCCATTAATTATCTTCTTGTTGAGGGAAAGAGAGCCTCATGTAGCCTAGAACTCACCACATAGCCAAGAATGCACTTGAATCCAGATCCTTCGATCTTCACCTCCAAGTGCTAGAACTATAGGCCTGAGCAACCACATCCAGCAACCATGAATTATTCTAAGTGTTACATATACTCAACAATTAACAGGATTTTCTAAATATAAATTTTCAAAAATTTCATTAGTAAAAATGTATTCTTGAAAAGTCACGGTAAGTGTGTATTTCTCACCTCTCTCTTTTGGGCACAGCTGAGTATAACAGGAGGTCCAACAATTCTACAGTCAGTCTTGCGCAAGTCATTGAAGACAGAATTCTGGAAGTCAGTAACTACAAACACATTCTCAAATTCTGGGGAATCCAAACTTCCAAATTCTTCCATTGAGTCCATCTTTACACAGGGCACTTTGACTTCCTAGATTTTTTATTTTATATGGTTATTATAAATAAAAAACATTCATAGGCCATATAATATACATAACTCCCTAAAAATGACTCCTACACTTTTTAGACATCTTTAAAATTTGTAGAAAACTTAAGTGTTAAAGTATACAATTAACATTATACCATACAATAGTGGAAAACTGTTATTTCTCTACTTCTGCATCATATATCCCCAACCACATCAAGAAGACACAGATGGATAAGGGAAAGATATAAACTTAGTAAGATCTATGACTCAGAGGCCTATAAACCACCTGGCATAACAGTAAATTCCGAGTACTAGAACACCAGAAACTTTCCTTTCTGCTGCTATAGTTTTAGTGTTTGATAGTAATGGGGACTGAACTTAGAACTTTGAGCATACCAGGCGAGTACTCTACCAATGAGCTATTGCCACCGCCTTACTGTTTTTGTTTGTTTGGTTTTTGGTTTTTTTGAAACAGGGTTTCTCTGTGTGGCTTTGAGCCTGTCCTGGAACTCGTTTTGTAGCCCTAAGTTGGCCTCGAACTCACAGAGATCTGCCTGCCTCTGCCTCCTTAAAGGCATGCACCACCACCGCTCGGCCTACTGGTTTTTGGTTTTTTGGTTTTTTTTGGCCTACTGTTTTTCTGAGGCAAGGTTTCACAACTTAGCCAGGCTAGTCTGAACTTCTCTATATAGACCAGGATGGCCTTGAACCCTCAGCAACCTTCCTGGACTGCCTGTGCAGTGATAACAGTTATAAGCCACCATGTCCCACTTAAAAAAAGTAAACATACTTTGATGTACTGTATTGGGTTTATATCCACCATTTTTATTCTGATCAGGAAAAATAATACTGTACATACACTGCTATCTTCAAAAAATAAGAAAAAATTACCATAACTTAAAGAATACCAGAGTTAATAAAAGGTTTCTAATTAACAATCTCATTTCACTTCATATGCTGTAAAGACAGGTCATGAGCCAAGTTGGCTGTAGAGGACAGATGTACAATAGTATACAAAGGCAAGGATCTTAGAACGATTTAAAACAAAACAACCAAAAAATTAACATACTGAAGATCACACATAATTCCTGTGTTAAAAGTCTGAATGGAGCCAGGTGGTGGTGGTGCACACCTCTAATCCTGGCACTTGGGAGGCAGAGGCAGGCAGATCTGTGTGTTCAAGGCCAGCCTGGTGTACAGAGTGAGGACAGCCAGGACCACACAGAGAAACCCTGTCTCAAAAAAATTAAATAATTCGGAATTGATAAGTAAATTATTTGGGCTTTAATTTGAAAGACTGGAGTGATGGGTCAAGCCAGCTATCCCTGAAATTCGTATATTGAACCCATAACCCAAAATATTGAAGCCTTATCTCACAACTGGATTGCATGTGGGTAAGGATGTTAAGGAGGCAACGAAAGCTAAACGAGGGGCCTGAGTAGCCTTCAATCTGATTGGGGTGTTCATAAGAAATGTGAACATACAAAGGAACACCAAAGATACACTACATAGAAACGAGGCAGGATACAGTAAAAAAAGAAAATAAAAAAGCCCCGTGCAACACAATAGAGGCTTCCAGACACTCTAAACTGCTGGGAACAATTTTCATTAGCTCCCAAAACTGAGAAAATTAAGTTCTGTTGTTTAAGATCTCTAGTCTGCGTTACTTTGTTTGAACAGCCCTAGCAAACTAATGTAACTGAAGGGCAGGGCGTTAGCTAGCTCAGTAGTAAAATGCTTGCCTAGCATTCACAAGATCCTGGGTTCAATCTGCCAAAATATAATAAATGATGATTATTATGGAGATGGACTAGAGAACTAGATAGATTACAAATTCTGAGGCAAATTAATTGATAATCACTGTTTATTGGTATTAGTAATTTGGAAAAACAACAAGAATTTAAACAAAATTAAAGGGAAAAGTACTAAAACATGTAAAGAAAATTATCAGATTATTGTACATATTACATCCTTTATTTAAATTAAATAATGAAGTCTCTAAAATTTGGATTTATAATAGATGCTATAGTTTTGGTCTTCAGAAACAACCCAATTCTAAGTTAAGTATAGGCTACTTCCTACATTTCTAATTCAGAGTGCACAGTATGCCTGATGCTGATTCCAGTCCCAGAGTGAAGCAGTTCAGCCGAGGGAAGTGAAGCATGCCACATGCAATGAGATGCTTGACCTACCTACCATATTAATAACACCTTTTATTAATTTTTCATCCGATTTTCCAGGACAACTTTCTTTTATCTTTATAACGGGGACTTCCATTATCTTAATAGTCTGTAGAAAAGAGACTTAAGTATAAGAAAGACAGGTGGGTGAAGACTCTCTTTAGAAGTGAACTACAAACCCCATCTCCTCACCTTTACTGCCTTGAGAAGCTCTTCTTGTTTCCAAGCTTCCTGGACCAGTATCAGTCTTGTTTCAACCTGAGGCATTTCTTCTATTAAAATGTAAAATGTTTCAATATGTTAGGGTACCAACAGCACAGCCAGCAAGCACTTCCTCAACCTTCTTCCTAGCTAGAAAGTCTTCTACCTGAGGAAGGTAGAACATTCCCAGAAGTTAAAATAACCTAATTCTGAGTTTCCTACAAAAATATTTGACTACGTATCACTTTTAAAAAAGAAATGATACAAGCAGGCAGTGGTACCACACTTCTTTAATCCCAGCACTGGGAGGCAGAGACAAGAGGATCTCTGTGAGTTGGAGGCCAGTCTGGTCTATAGAGCAAGTTCCAGAACAGGCTCCAAAGCTATACAGAGAAACCCTGTCTTAAAAAAAAACAAAACAAAACGAAAGGAAAGGAAAAGATAAACTGTAGCAAAAGACATACAAACAACAAAGAAATAATTCTCCCCAAGAAGCATTACAAGCATGTCCCTCCTCCTTAAGGCACAGGGAGCTTTTCACAGACCCCCTACAAGGCAGTGAGATAAGCGGCTCATCGCATAACCACAATGTTACAGCTAGACAGTCTCAATACAAGGAAAGCAGGATCAGCACAAAGACGCCCGTTTTCAAAGTGGGGAAGCATTAGCCCAGATGATGGACAGAGAAGACAGACATCGTGCCCGACTTACTCAACACACAGCCTCTAACTTAACTGTTACATCAGTGACAGAAAAACCAGCAGTCAGTACTTGAGGATTAAACAACAATTCTCTTTCTTTATAAAGCAGATAATAGGCTTACCATCAACAGTTGAAGAAGACGCCATGCACAAGTTTTCCTTGGAAGTTTCAGTAACTTTAGAATCAAAAATAGAAGAATCTGCCAAGTTAGTTATCTCAGTAGGAGACGTTAATATACTGTTGTCAGCCATTGTTTGCACTGTTTTGTGGTGGCTGAAAAACAAAATTTGGAATTTAAACACATAAAACAAATCTAGTCACTGAGCAACAAGCTTTAGAGCAGTGGTCCTCACCCTTCTTAATGCTGCAACCCCATAAAACAGCTCAAGTTATGGTGATCACAGCATAAATTTATTTCGTTGCTACTTCATACTGTAAATTTGCTACTTTTATGAATCGTAATGTAAATATCTGATATGCAGGACATCTGGCACATAACCACAACAGGCTAGAAGCTGTGCTTGTGTTATGTAGAATTTATCCTCTGGTCCCAGGTAGTAGAGGATGGTCATGCCTAAAATCAGCTCAGGGAAGGTAGAGATAGAAAGACCAGGAGTAGGAGGCAACATGAATTCGAAGCCAATTTGGGGAACAAAGAGATCCTATCTCAAAACCTCCATCAGCATAAGTTTCTTTCTCTATAAAATAAAGCTGATCAAAACTGGCTATAGAAATACAGTAACGCCAGGCGGTGGTGGCACACGCCTTTAATCCCAGCACTTGGGAGGCAGAGGCAGGTGGATCTCTGTGAGTTCGAGGCCAGCCTGGTCTACAAGAGCTATCTCCAGGACAGGTTCCAAAGCTACAGAGAAACCCTGTCTGGAAAAAACAAAAAAAACAAACAAACAAAAAAGTAATACAGTAACAAGTAACAACAGGTATTAAAAGAACACAGAAAACTCCCTGACATAACACACAAAAGGTGATCACAAATATTTCCCTCTTTCTTCTACATTTCTATCTTCAATCTATTTCTCTTCCTAAATGTCTATACAACATCTGCTTACAATAATCCCATCTTTACTCTTCGACTCATTCTCCCTGCTCAAAATGCCTGTCAGTCTCAAATCCAAAAACTTTAGTGTCAAACTAAATTTCTGAGCAGTTTTAAAGTTCAAATTACAATGTACTTTATAACTGTGCTCGGCCTAGCATGTCTTCTACTTCAGTAACCACTCTTGACTTATGGATTTCTCAGAACCTTTCATAAGTAATTATACAGCTTACATATTACTGGCATTTTTATATTAATTTCCAAACATCTCTAAGATTTGACAAGACAAATAAATATAAATTAGTGTCAGTATAAATCTGAACTATGAAAGAAAGCTCTTTTAGATTTCTAGGATCTAAGAATTGAAAAGTTAGGCAAGCAGGAAAATAAAGTTTAAGTTTAAAGTTAAAAGTCATACTTCATAGTCTGAGTTTGTAGCTCAGTGCTAAAGTTCTTGCAAAGTATGCTGCAGGCCCTGGGCTTTATATTCAACTTGGGGGGGGAAAGCAAATTTCTTAAATAAATATAACCAATAGTCTCATGACTGATCCATTTTTCTCTACTTCAGATTCATAAAGGGACTGCTCTACATTCTTAGTAAAGAAACAGTTTAAACTGTATGCTTTGGGAAAACAGTAAGGTATGAATCTTCATTTCTGGTTAGTGATTAGGTAGCACAAAACATACACACTAGAGACCTACACACAGAAGAAAAATCATACACTTATAGGTCAGCCACCTGTCTCCTGGCTCAGCTTTGCATTAAACCTCTATTTCTATATAAAAGAAGCAGACATAGATTACAACTCAAATCCAGGTTGTGATAGAAAATGAGTAGATATTTTGGGATGACAGGTAACAATTCATATTTATACAATACTCACGACTCAGCACTGTTTACTGTCTATCCATGGCAATCACTACTCTAAGCACTGCAGAAGTGCTCCAATAGTTGTCTTTACTCAGAACAACTACAAATTCCATGGTCTTCTTCCTACTTCTCCTAAAGAATCATTTCCAGTGAAAAACACAAGGCTCTAAGTCACTTAAAGAAATCTCACAACATAATGACTCTATAGGTCAGTATCTGGCTCAGCCACCGTCAGAGGAGCTTGAGTCAGTAGATGGAACAAACAGAGAGACCCACAGCCAGACATTACACACAGAGTGAGACCCTAAACGGAAGTCTCCATCAGAAGAGGATGGAGAACATCAAGGAAACAATACCCTCTAAATCAACAGGACTGGCGTACATAGGAGCTCACAAATCAAATGCAGAGGAAGTTGACACGATGTCCCATCCCTAACCAAGAGGCTGTCTCCAATTGACAACCACTCAAAAGAGAAATAGTGTTCTCCTGAGTCTCACTGGGCACAAACCACAAAGGGCACGCTCCACACTCAACAGTAGCTGCCCAACTGAAAACGAACTCTGGCATTTTTGTGGAAGTATTTTGCCTCATAGTACTTTGTCAGGGATTTTTTTTAACCTTACTGGTCTTTTGTTTATACCGTATGGTTTCCCATTTTGGCTTCTATGGGTGTTCTGTGCGTGTCTCTCTGCTTGGGTATGTGCTTCCCATGCTTTTTCTGGGTGTTCCCTTCCAGTTTGTTTTTTTTCTATTCTGCTTTGTTTTCCTTTGTTTGTTTTTCTTATTTGTTTTCTAAAGAGAGAGAGAAAAGAAGCTGTGGAGTTGGATGGTGGGGAAGTGGGATAGGATCCAGAAGAAATGATTAGACTGTATTGTCTGAAAAGAAAAATCACACAAAGGAAAAAAAGACAGGCAGAGGCAGTATGCGCCTTTAGTCCCAGCACTCGGGAGACAGCAGCATGTGGATATCTGTGAGTTCGAGAATAGCCTGGTCTACAAGATTGAGTTCCAGTACAGACAGGACTGTTTCACAGAGAAAGTTTGTCTTGAAAAACAAAACAAAAACAAACAAACAAAAAAATCAAAAATTTCTAATAAATCAAGACCATTTGAGAGGCTGGAGAGATAGCTCAGCAGTTAAGAGCAGTGCCTGCTCTTCCAAAGGTCCTAAGTTCAATTCCCAGCAACCACATGGTGGCTCCCAACCATCTTTAATAGGATCTGCTACCCTCTTCAGGCAGAAAAATATACGTGCAGGCAGAAAAATATACGTGCAGGCAGAACATTGTATACATAATGAATGAATGAGTGAATGAGTGAAATCTTTTAAAAAAAATAAAACAAAAGATCTGAGCTGCTCATGGTATTGAAAGCAGTACTGTCACATGAAACCTGACCTCCAAAGAGCCAACAGCAGGAATTAATGAAATGGTTAGTAGAACCCTGGGGCTAGAGGGAAGGCTGGTGTGATTAAATTCACTGCTCTTCAAGAGGACCAAGGTTCAATTCCCAGCACCCACATGTCAGCTCACAATTACCTGTAACTCCAAGATCTGGCACTCTTACACAGATATACATGCTGGTAAAACACCAATATACACATTTTTTTAAAAAAAAATAATTACTTTAAAACAACTTTCCACTGGGCAGTGGCGGTGCATGACTTTAATCCCAGCACTCAGGAGGCAAAGGCAGGTGGATCTCTGTGAGTTTGAGGCCAGCCTGGTCTACAGAGCTAGTTCCAGGACAGCTAGGGCAGTTACACAGAAAAACCATGTCTTGAAAAACAGAACAAAACAAAAGGTTAGTAAAATGTACTTTGAATGTTTCCAATAAAAGAAATGATAAATGCTTCCAGTAACATAGCCATTACCCTGATCTGATCATATCGGATCATTACATATTATATAAATGTACTAAAATATCCTAGGGCTTGAAGTGTAGCTTAGTGAGAAAGCATAAAGAGGTTCAGGGTTCAACCTCTCAGTTTCAGGAAAAAAAAAAGGAAACGTCAAAACGCAGCCCATAATTATATGCCAATGACAAGGCTTCACAATATATATATAACACACATAATATATGTATATGTATGTTTTACATATACATACATATGTATATGTATGTATATATGACACGGTTTACGGTTTTTCAAGACAGGGTCTCTTTGTGTAGCCCTCTCTGTCCTGGAACTCACTCTGTAGACCAGGCTGACCTCAAACTCACAGAGATCCACCCGCCTCTGCCACCTGAGTGCTGGGATTAAAGGCATGCACCACCACTGCCCGGTGGAAAGTTGTTTTTAATTAATTAATTTTTTTTAAAAAAATGTGTATATTGTGTGCGCCATCACTGTCAAACTTTTACAATCATGTTCAGTGATACTTTCGTTTCCATGACCCTCTTTAACTTCAAAGGCTTAATTAACTGCATATATCATTTATTTCCAAAACAGCTTCAAAATTTACAGTGGAAGAGTTACATGGTAAACTAAAGCTATAACTATAGTCCAACAGTCGGATCTCAGACTGGAATGCATCCATCGCTTTTTCTCACGTTCACATAGGCCAGGGACTTTTATAAATAAACACAATAGAATCAGGGATCACCAAACAACACATCTTTGTCTGGGGATGTAGCTTTGCAGAAGCATGCATGACGTCATCCCCAGGTAACCCATAAACCAGGCATGGTGAAAGTACACCTTACAGGAGGCAAGCTCATCAGTTCAATGTCACTCTTCGCTCCACAGTACAAACCTATGCTGGGCTCCCTGACAACCTCTCACAACACATTTCTTTTAAATTGAGTTTCCTCATAAAAACGTTATCCAGGGTAAAGAACCAAATTCCAATAATGAACGTTATTAGCAATTGTGATTAGTAGTTCTCATTTACTTAGAGTTTAACATTTTTCCAGGCACTATCCTAAATCTGTTTCCTTGCCATTCGTTTAACCTTTGCAGCCATCCTAACAGTGGAATACTAACTACTGCCGTACACAGTTTGTGGCTAAGGCAGTCGCTCACGCGGCTTCTCCAAGCCGGGTCTAACTACACTGATAGCGCTTCCCTAACCACTAACCACACACAGCTGTGGCCAGGAAGGGGGCGGGGCGGCCTGTGTTTTATATTTAAAAATGGAAAATCGGAATTCTGCAGGAATTCCAGTGGGAAACCACAAAACAATCAGGGCAGTTCAGGGCTGCAGCGGGCGGGCGGGCAGCCAAAATCCCGGTTCCAACTGCGCCCTTCACCCTGGGGCGCCCGGCAGCAGCAGAACAGGGAGGAGGGGGGCCCGGACTGGGACCGCGACGACGGAAGACCGGGCCGGGTACAGAGGAGGGGACGGAGGGTGGAAGAGGGTGACGGAGCCCGTGCTGCCCACCGCGACGGGGAGGCGACCTCCGACGCCGCCGCCCACGGCTCGGGCACCGCATCCCCTCCCGTCCCGCACACACCACGCAGTCCTCACCACGCTTAAACGGAAAGAAGAGCCGCTCCGGCGCCGTCCTCCGCTATCCTCACACCCTCACGGCCCTCACTGGCGCCATGGCTCGAGGGAGGCCGCCGCCGCCGCCGATTCAAAAATCCGGCCGCTCTCTCCGAGAGCCATGCTGATTGGTGCCCTCGGCCAACCTCCTCGCCATAGGCTGGAGCCCCGAGGGCAGTGCTGATTGGTCACAGCCCAACGCCCGCCTCCAGGCGGGGCCGGTTGATTGGCTGTGCGTGACTTTCAAATAAGCTAAACGGCTGTAGCGTGCGGACGTCAGCGGAGTGCCCGGATGTGGTCGCGAGGGGGCGGCGGCCCCCTCTAGAGCGGCAGGTGTCTCTGTGGTTACCGCTTGTTTACTCAGTAAACAGCGCCTTTCCTGAGGACCAGTCCCTCTCTCTATCATCTCCTCCACCTTCAAGAAACAGCACCCAGCACCCCAAGTCGTTCCGCTTTTATTACTTCCCAGGTTCTCTTTTGAAAGCCAAGCTTGCATCTGAGCAATTTATAATTAATTGTGTGAGGAGATTCTAGAATCTCCGGAGGCAAAATCGCCTCAGGGTTGCTCCTCCAACCCCGCCCCAAGCGCAGGAAGGTCCTGGGAAGTCAGGACAGAGAAGAAGTGAACAATTTTTACCTGGGGTCAGTATTGCTCTTCTGCAAATTGTTTCTACAATATTCTATGTTCTAAAGTGTTCTACAATAGAATCGTTTAAGAAAAATGCACTTCTAGCTGGGTGTAGATGTGACCCCAACCACTGAGGAGGAGAATGCTGGAGGCAGAGGACAAGAGCAGCTTGGATAACACAGGGTGACCCTATCTCAAAACAACTATCTTTAATTAGAAAAACAAAACAAAACAAAACAAAAAAACTATCAAGTGAATGCTGACTTAAATGAAAGGGAAGTGAATCTGCTGCTAGGCCCCCAAATCTCAATAGAAGGTAGAAAACTATTTTTCAGATTTATTTATTTTAAATTTTATGTGCCTGGGTTGTTTTTTTTCCTACATGTATGTATTTTCCTTGATTTAGATTTATTTTAAATTTTATGTGCTTGATTTTTTTTTTTTTTTTTTTGCTTGCATGTATGTGTTTTTCTCGAATGTAATTGCATGCATCGTATGGGTGTCTGGGTGCCCTTGAAGGTAAGAAGCCGCAGGCTGGGATACCCTGGGACTGGAATTACAGAGGATTATGGGTTACCTTGTGGATGCTAGGAATCGAACCAGAGCAACAAGTGTTTTTAACTACTGAGCCAACTCTCCAGTAAAAACTACTACTTTAAGAACAACACAACTTCTTTTTAGATTTGTCAGACTCTGTAGCAATTTGAAAAGTTTGTGGTGTACTTCAGAGAATGAGTAAAACAGTCTATAATCATAGCTTTTGTGTTTCTGCCTACCATTATGTAAGGCCTGCCTTTCACTACAATTCTGTGCTAGCTGTTAGGAAGGAAGAAAAGAAAAATGGGCGTTGAAATTGTCCTCTGGAGCTTGCTTGCATACTTGAGCTTGGGTGTGGCGGGCATTCCAAACATTCTCATCGCTAAAGTACTTAAACTGGAAGCAGCCCACTTCCTTTGTGACTGCCTTAGGGAGCCAAGCTTCCCCAACTGTCTGATGAGGATGTGTGCAGCCTTCCAAAGCTTGTGTGGCACATGCATGAGAAATGAGCAGGAGATTCCATCTCGCTTGCAAGTTTTTATTTACTCAGCAGATATGTATTAACCAGCAGAAAGCCACTGGGGGGTAAAAGCATAAATTAGAGCCAGACAGTGATGGCGCACACCTTTAATTCCAGCTCCTGGGAGGCAGAGGCAGGGGAATCTCTGTGAGTTTGAGGCCAGCCTGAGCTGCAGAGCGAGTTCCAGGACAGGCTCCAAAGCTACACACAGAAACCCTGTTTCAAAAAGCAAACAAACAAAAACCCACCAAGAATGAGGTATAGGTCCTGCCTGTGGAGGCTTCTGTGAGGTGTGGTAGTGCGCACTTGTAATCCCATCACCGCGGAGTGCAGGTGGCTACAGTTTAAGAACAGTCTGGACTCTGAGACCCTGTCTCAAAATATAAAGGAACCCAGAAATAACAAATGAATGTAAAGGAAAACAGTGTTGTTGTGATAAAAATGAACCGGCATCAGCTGCAGCAGGTGAAAAACAGACCTACAAGGCACGGCATGCAGAGAAAGTGGGTATTTATTTAGTGGGTTATGAAGGGGAAAAGGAAGGAAGGGGAGAAGGGGGAAGAGCAGAGAGAGGCAGAGAGAGAGAGGAAGAGAGAGGGGGAGGTGAGAAGTGGGGAGAACGGTGAGAGGCATCAGGAGTGGGGGGCTTGTCTCTTCAGGAGGGGAATATTTTAGAAAATTACTCTTATGATTTCTTCTGATCTTTGTGGGCATCAGACACAAACATGATATTTATACATTCATACAGCAAAACACTAATACACATAAGAAACATTTTAAATCTAAAAGTGTTTTAATGTGAAATATAAAAAAGACATGTACATTGCTCTTTATTAAACAAGTTCCAAGACAGACAAGATCAGATACCCTGTCTCAAAACATAACTGAAGAACAATTGATAAAACTTGGAGAGAGAAATTGGGCTTCAACCTGACAATCTGAAAAGCAAAGCAGCCAGCCACTGCTTATCTTGACTTCAGGCCAAAAATGGCAATCCGCAATCCTGCCTCCAGAAATCTCAGAATAAGACTAGGTCTGAGAGCTGTTTCTTCCCATTTTATAATCCTCTCTAGTTCTGGGATTAAAGGTGTGCACCACCCAGTTTCTATGGCAACTAGTGTGGCTACTGGGATTAAAGTTGTGTGTTACCACTGCCTGGCCTGCAAGGCTGACCAGTGAGACTGTTTTACTCTCCTAATCCCCAGGCAGCTTTATTTATTAAAATACAATTGAAATGCTGTTGTCTGGTTTCTGTCCTCCCACCAGGTCCCATAGCCATTTAGCTCCAAAGAAATCACACAGAGGTCTATATTAATGATAAACTAATTGGCCCATTAGTTCAGGCTTCTTATTAATTCTTATAACTTATATTAACCCACTATAATGTTATAATGTGAATAATGTTAGCCACATGGCTTGGTACCTTTCTCGGTGGGGCAATCACATCTCCCTCCTTCTGTGGTTGGGACATGACTGGGGAGGAATAGGCTTCCTCCTTCCCAGAATTCTATTCTCATTGACCCGCCTCTACTTCCTGTCTGGTTGTCCCACCTATACTTCCTGCCTGGCTACTGGCCAATCAGCGTTTATTTAAAACATAATGGATAGAATATAGACAATTGTCCAGCACCAAACTACACAAAACAAATAAAAATGTGTATATATGTATATATACTAACATATATGTGTATACTAATAGGTTCCCCTCCATCCCGTACCAATAGGTTTCTCCAACTAAGCAGTAAACCAGACCAAATCAAACTGAAAAAGTATTTATTTGAGCAAAGATGTATTTGAGCAAAGAAACTCCTGGTTGAGTTCTCCAGTCCCAGAGCTTGAGGCCTGAGAAGTGTCCACCAACAAAACCAAGTAGATTTTGTAGATTGTAGGTGAGGGGTAGTTGGGTTTGTGCCCAAGTATGGTCAAAAGATGAGCACTTTAAGGTGACTGGCAACTTCAGAGGAAGCTGCAAAAATTCAGAATTGGGCTTTTGACGACTTTCCTTTGTTCAGAGGCTCTCTGAGCCAGCGGGGTTTGGCAAGAGAAACAGCAATAGGGCTTTCTAGATCATGCAGGGGTGAGCTGGAGGTTCCAACCAAACACATGCCATATATAGATACCAAAGTATATATGTGTACACACACACACATACACACACACACACGTGTTTATGAAAAACAGGAAAAAGAAGGTTAGCAAATATTTCATTATCTTGATATATATCTATGTTTTATTTCCTACAACACAGGCTAGGTACATGAGTATAGTTTTTAAAATTTATTGTATGTGTATGGATGTTTGTGAATATGTATGTCTGTATACCACAGTCATGCCTGGTGCCTACAGAGGCCAGAAGAAGATAGCAGGTCTCCAGGAACACCATGTGGGAGCTAGAAGCAAACCCAGGTTCTCTGGAAGAACAGCCAATGTTCCTACCCTCTGACCCATCTCTCCAGCCCTGAGTATTTTTTATAAACCAGTGTGTAATGACTGTACCTCTTCTTTTTCCTTTTTAAACTTTATCGGTTGTTCAAGTTGACATTCAAGAACTTCCAGAGTACTGTTTACAGCGATATTTGTAACACTGATACTAGCTGTTTGGACCAAAAACAGCCATATTCTAAGAGTTTTGTATCAAAATAGATCAATAAGCTCAGGTTGACTTTATTTTCTCTCTTCCCCATCCACATTTGAGACAAGATGGTGTGGTTCCCAGCCTGGCCGCTAGCTCACCACCTCCGTGGATCTGACCTCCTGCCTCTGTTTCCCTGCAGCTCTGGGATTACTGCATTACCACCACAGTTTATGCCATTCTAGGGCTCCAACCCAGGGCCTTGTGCTTGTGAGGCAAGCACTCAGCTAAGAAGCTAGAGCCGCAATCCATTGACTTAGTTTTCTTATGTCTGATGTTTTATTTTTTTATTTTATTTTTGATTTTTTGAGACAGGGTTTCTCTGTGGTGGAACAACTCTTGCTGTACTACAACTCTCTCTATTGACCAGGCTGGCCTTGAACTCACGGAGATCCACCTGCCTCTGCCTCCCGAGTGCTGGGATTTATTAAAGGTGTGTGCCTCCACCATCTACATGGCTTATGTCTGATCTTAATGCGATTTTTTTTTTCCTATTTACTAACTTGGCTCTAAAAGCTACTACTTTGTGTATAAACTAGAATAAATTACCTACAAAGTAAATAGTACAATTGAGGGTTTTTGTTTTTTTGGTTTTTGTTTGTTTGGTTGGTTGGTTGGTTTGGTTTGGTTTGGTTTTGGGGGTTTTTTGTTTTGTTTTTGCTTGCTTGTTTTCCCTGAGACAGGGTTTCTCTGTGTAACAGTCCTTGCTGGCCTGGAACTCATTTTTGTAGACCGTGCTGGCTTCAAACTCAGGAGATCCACCTGCCTGTGCCTCCCAAATGCTGGGATTAAAGGAGTGTACTACCACCACCCAGCT